CTGATGAGACCATGATTCTGTGGCGTTTCTTCGAAACCAATCACATCCGGGATAGCAATCGGCATTTGACGGATGCCTGCAACCTGTTCATTCATCACTGACAATGCTTTGCTCGTACATTACTTGGTGGCAGGTGCATATGTACAAAGGCGCAGACGTATACGCAGAATATGAGCCTCATCGCTAGTCGTACTCGTACTACCAGGGCGTTGGGGTGACAGCAAGGAACCCAACATGTCACATCACCCGCATTGAATGTATGTGTACAGGATTTTCCCAAAGTAAACCAGCCGTTGCAGCCTAACCATATTCCTTTCAAAAGAAACATGACCAATAATAATAATACCTTTGTGTGTTGGAAGAAAAAGAGAAGAAAGGAAATTCGCTCCTGGTGACATTTTTTGTCCTTCAAGTTGTTATGTATGCAAGACTCCCGGGAAGAAAAAAGATCGGTGACAGAGGCTCATGACCTCCAGTCTCATTACAGCTCATCACGTTTGCTGCGTCTGCGTTCCCGGCCGATTCCATGTCCTGACATGACCAGTCTTGCAGCTAGTGATAATAGCGTCTTCTGTAAAGCCTAGCCAGCAGCAAGGGTCCTTGTCGATCATTTTGTTCTAAGGGTGTTAGTTTTCCCCCGTACAGTCACATGCTATCTTGTCTTTTATATATATATACAACACGATGGGGAAAACAAAGATGGAAAAAGAGTCGAAAGGAGGATTGGGGGAAAGAGACGGGGGGAGGTTGGGGGGGAGGGGAGAGGAAAAACTCACCAATACAGGAGGCAACATGGGAATCCTAGATCGCGGCTCAACAGGATGAGCCAAATCATTGTCATACGCCGCCGGCGAGTGGCTTGTGTTGGCCGTCTCTGGCCTATGTGTGTAACGTGATGAGATAGAGCCCCTGTGATGTACAGAGTGCTGTTGTCTCCCCAAGTCAGCTGGCATGTCACGAGAGACAGTGAGGGAGAAATGAGGGAAGGAGGAGAATGAATGGAAACCAGAGGAGAATTAATAAAAAAAAAAAAAACATACCGCTCGTGGCCTGTGAAGCATACTGACGCTAAAGTCCCAGAGACAAAGACGGCCGTCCTCGCCAACACTGCCAAACCGGTAGCTACGCCCATCGCACCTCCATGGATCAAATGCCACGGCTGCCACCCAAGATTGGTGACCCTGGCACCTGGCCACAAGGGCCGAGTCGTCCATCGACCATATAGAGATGAGGTCGTCCTGCCCGCCCGTAATGATGTACTTTCCGTCCGGGGACCAGCAGACGCAGGTGAAGCCTCCGTAGTAAGAGTAGAAGACGTCCAAGAGCCTATGTGGAAAGAAACAGACGCACACGCACACGCACACGCACACCGATGTCAGCAGAGAATACTACTGTTACCATCAAGTCATGGCGAGAAAGGTAGGAGAGGAATATGGACAGTATGGCCCGGGAGTGGAAAGCAGGGAGGGAGAGGGTCATGGATGTGTCCTTACTCTTCATCCAAATAATTCATGACTCGCAGCGTCCCATCCTCCGACACGACGGCCAGGTGTCGACAGTCCGGAGAGAAGGCGAATGCGTTGATGCGCTGGTTCGCCAGCTTCCAGAATGCGACGGGGTTGGTCTTTTGGTTCTGCGAGTGGACAGACTTGTGGATCTGCAGGTCGAGGTCGCTCGAAGGCTCGCCGCCGAGGCCGGTGTTGCTGCCTGCGTCGCTCCCCTCGTTGCGCTGGGCTTCGTGCTCGGGGACAAAGGGTGCGTCGTCCTTTTCCTTGTCGTACACAACTAGCGAACCGTCCATGTGCGCGGCTAGGAAGAGATTCTCGGACCCGGGAATCCACCTGATCTCAGATACCGGCGTGCTGTTGATGGCTCCCTGCGTTGAAAGAGATCACGTCAGTACAGACCCTGGTTTACGGTATTACATCTCAACCTTATCTTGGGTGAACGGTCAGTGTAGTACATTCTTGTTGAGGCGGGTATATCTCTGGGAGATTGGCTCCCACCAGATGACCTCGCCTGTGGAGAATCCCATGATTACGTCGGCGTGAGAGACGCTCTTGGTGACGGCATTGACATCGTGGCACAGGCAGTGGGCCTTGGTGAACAGTATCTTGGTCAGGTAGTCTTGCTGTCAGGGTGTCAGCAACACGCCTCTCGACACCGAAATCTGGTGAAATCAAGAACAGGGGAGGTCTGGGGGTGGTGGAGCACACCTTGGACTTGTTGGATAGGTCAAGCCACTGGAAGGCGCGGTTGATGTTGGCAAAGATGAAGAGCCCGTCACTGGGTCGGTCCGTCAACTTCCGCGACAGGCTCTCGTTGACAATGACGCGCGAGATAAACGATGAGTTGCTCTTGGTCATGTTATTCTTTGGCTTGCGCTTCTTGTTGACGTCCTTGGTGGGCGCCGTGGCCAGGCGCGCATTACCCTCTCCAAAGGCCGGGACGGCGATGCCGCGTCCGCCACCACCACCGGCAGATGAGGTGGCAGCCGCATCGCTCACCAACGACGTGCCTTTACCGTCCTCACTGCTCAGCCCGCCCTCGGTCGAGTACCGGAGATGGTCACTGTGATTCTCGTGGTATGTGCCGGTCGCATTGCTGGGGAAGGAAGGCTGGGTCACTCGGGGGGCGGCGGGGGCGGACCGGGCGTCGAGGTTGAGAAGCGACAGCTGCGTGCCTGCCGTGGCCGGTTGGGGGCTCGTCGCTAAAGGGTTCGGGTTCACGATGGGTGCTTCGGAGGGGTGCGGGGGCGGCGTGGCAAGGTGTAGATCTTCCTTCAGGACGTAGGTACCTGCAATTGTGGTCCGGTGAGCAGTCTCGTCTTTGGGAACCTGCAATCAAGCCGCTGGCTGGTCGGGCGCGAGCTTACCCTCTCCGACGAGAAACTGCCATTCGGGGCCCTCGGGGTGCGACAGAGCATTGTTGGTCTCAATGGTCGGCATAATGCCGTTCACCGAGTTCATGCCATACGAATGGAGGGGGTACCTCGGGGGAGGAGGCAGGACGCTGGGATACGCAAGGTAAATGTGGCAATGGTCAGCGTCGAGCAGGCTCATGTGTCGTGGCCCAGGTGAAGCTGTGTGGATATGAAATAAACTCACAACATGTCTGCGTTTGTGGGCTGCGACAGCGCAGCAGGAGCAGCGGGACAATACGGGGGATGTAGGAAGGTCGGAGGTGACACAAGGCGCCGATGATGTGGCCAACCGACGCGGGTTCGACCAGGGCTTGACCCGAAATAGGAGACAGGTTATTGGAAGAGGCGGGCAGAGGCGGGCAAACGGCTGAGATGTCGCGCGCAGAGCACCGGTTAGCTGTTGGCAATGTGTTGACGTGCTGCTATACGGGTGATGGGTGTCGATTGCTGTCAGCTCCGGTCGGCGACGATTGACAAGATGCTGGGCAGCGGCGGTGGGCGGAGAGGAGGGGAGTGGTTGTGTTGAGGAGGAATGCAGGTTGGTGGTTTCGGACAGGCACGGCATGGGGTCGTCAGTTGTGGTGGCGGTCGGGTGGATGCGACGAACTTGGGTCATTGTGGGGTAATGGCGGCGCTCCCATAGCATAGTGACGATGATAGCTTCCACTAATCTGTACTGGGAATCTATTCTCTACTCGCGAAGGACCATCCATATTCAAGGCCCAATCTACAGGTCTGTACATGGACTATTTCAGAACTACTTTAGAGCCACGATGGGAATGCTCGCACCATGAGCACTGCAAGCACAGAAGACATGCGTTTTATTTCCGTATCAATCACGATGATGAGGAATAGTCTAGAATCGAGGTTGAAATGATAAACACAATGTAACCCTGCCAAAAGAGTATATCGATTGATGACTGCCCAGGCCTTGTTCGGCCAATGACCTAATAATCTGCAAGATGTGGACAGCGGACAGCGGGCAGCGAGAATCCCACGCTTGTTGGCGTCATTAGGGGGGCCACTGGCCTGTAAGCCATTCGCAAGTAGATTGAAGTAATACGTCGGTGTGCAGCGGACTTCCCCCACTAGCTCAACACAAACACCAATAACACTCCAGCGAGAGCCTGGAAAGGAAGAAAAGGCCTGTAGGCTGTATAACATGGCGTAGAAAAATTCGGTCTATATACTACTAGTATAGCGGTCCAATAGACTGGGCCTACAACCTCCAGGTGACCACCTATTGCAGGTCGGGGTCCAGTTCTTTTTTTCGGGGGGGGGGGGGGGAGAGGGGGAAGGGAGGAACGCCCAACTCCAGGCCAGTTCCCCCCCCCCTCCCTTCTGTCGGATGGAAGCGGAGCGGAGCAATGAGACCTGGTAATAATTATTCGTACCAAACTTGTATGCTCAACCAACTTCATTTCCTTCCCCTCCTCATCTTGCTTCGACTCGACAACCTGCAACATACTACTTGGCATAGCCGTCGGGCGTAATCAGCCTGTACATTCGTGTCTCCCGGGTTATGGAACGTCCCCAGACTGCACACACACACGCATACACGATCTAGTCGACACAGCGTAGAGGAGCTGCTGTCTGGGAAGCTCCTCCATCCCTTCCTCCACCATGACGACTGGTAAGAAAAAGGAACACAACCTGACACGCTCCCCATCTATCCTTCCAGCACATCCATGCACTTGTCTTTTTATTACGCTCATCTCCACGTACTAACGCATCCTCCTCCCCCCACCCCAGTCCGTATCTGCGTCTGTGGTGACGAGTCCACGGGCAAGTCCAGCCTCATCGCCTCCCTTGTTAAAGACCAGTTCATCACCACAAAAATCCAACCCGTCCTCCCGCAAATCACCATCCCTCCGAGCATCGGTACCCCCGAGAACGTCACGACCGTCATAGTCGATACGTCTGCGCGTCCCCAAGACCGAACCACCCTGCGCAAGGAGATTCGAAAATGCAATGTTATCCTCCTCGTATACGCCGACCACTACAGTTACGAGCGGGTCGCTCTCTTCTGGATGCCTTACTTCCGCTCCCTCGGCGTCAACGTGCCTGTCGTCCTCTGCGCCAACAAGTCCGACCTCTCCGGACATACCAACACGACCCAGGTTGTCGAGGATGAGATGCTACCCGTCATGGCTGAGTTTAGGGAGATTGACTCATGCATCCGCACCAGCTCCCGCGAGCACCGCAATGTCAACGAGGTCTTCTTCCTCTGCCAAAAGGCCGTCACTCATCCCATTGCACCGCTCTATGACTACAAGGAGGGTGTCCTCAAACCTTCGTGCGTCTCGGCCCTCCGCCGCATATTCTATCTCTGCGACAAGGACCAGGACGGCTACCTCAATGATCCCGAGATGCGTGACTTCCAGGCCAGGTGCTTCGACAAGCCTTTGACCGACGACGACCTCGAGAACATCAAGGCGTCCATTTCCAAGGCCCTTCCTAACCTGCAGCTCGAACGTGGCATCGACCAGGACGGTTTCCTACAACTCAACAAGATATACGCCGAAAAGGGTCGTCATGAGACCATCTGGATCATCCTGCGCAAGTACCACTACACCAACAGTTTGAGCCTGGACGACAAGTTCCTCCATCCCAAATTTGACGTCCCCGAGTACTCGTCTGCCGAGCTGAGCCCTTCGGGCTACCGCTTCTTCGTCGACCTATTCCTCCTCTTCGACAAGGACAATGATGGGGGTCTCAACGACGACGAGCTCGCTGCGCTGTTCTCACCCACACCTGGCATGCCTGCCTCGTGGGTTGACTCGTGCTTCCCTTCGTCGACCGTGCGCAACGACGCCGGGCATGTCACACTGCAGGGATGGCTTGCCCAGTGGAGCATGACGACCTTCCTCGAACCCAACACGACGATTGAGTACTTGGCGTACCTCGGCTTCGAGCCTCCCAACCCTCGAGACCCCATTACAGCCGCACTCAAGATCACCAAGTCGCGTAAGCGGAGACGTCGCCCCGGACGGGTCGAGAGGAACGTGGTCATGGGGTACTTGGTGGGTGCACCCGCCTCTGGCAAGTCAGCGCTCCTGGACGCCTTCCTCAATCGGCCCTTTGAGAATCTACACAGGCCGACCATACAGCCACGTCGCGCCGTCAACAGCGTGGAGCTCCCGGGAGGTAAGCAGGTGTACCTGATCCTGGAGGAGCTCGGTGAGCTGGAACCGGCTATCCTGGAGAACACAGCCAAGTTGGACGCTTGCGACCTGCTCTGCTACGCCTACGATTCGTCCGACCCGGACTCCTTCTCACATATTGTCAATATACGTGCCAAGCACCCCTACCTTGACGAGCTACCGTCAGTCTACACGGCGCTCAAGGCCGACCGTGACAAGACGACGCAGCGCAGTGAGCTCCAGCCTGATGAGTACACGTCGTCGCTCAAGATGAGCACCCCGCTCCATGTTAGTGTCACATGGAACAGCATCAGTGAGCTCTTTGTCGCCCTGGCCGATGCCGCCACCAACCCCAGCACCGCATTTCCCAGGTCCGACGAGGATACAACCGACCGCACAAGCCTCTACATGGCTCTCGGCGCAACAGGGTGCGCCGCCGTCGCCGCACTCATGATATGGCGGCGGTCAACAAATGCCGCTTAAAATCGCATACACTACTACGTATGTACACAACGATTGGGAACCCTTCTTTCTTTCACTGATCCTTACAAGTCCCACTCTCCCCTCCTTCCACCTCAGCATCCTTATTCTCATTTCCCCAAGCATACAAACGAGACGTCTTCATACAAACATCATTGCACCCGTAATATCATTGGTGGCGGCGGTCTTCTCATATCGTTATCATTTTGTAATCCTTCTCCTTTCAAGGCTTCATTGTTAAAGAAAATAATGATTGCCTGGCTTCTTTGTTTATATTTTTTTTTTCACAAGATACCCCCCAATCCTACCGAATCTCCCATCATATACATAATTTCTTATAGTAAAAATAAGAATACTCTCCTTTTCTCTCTCACCCTGTAAAGGGCACACCTCTTCTGTGCCGACAAGATATTGTAGAAGTTTCCGTCGGTCCTCTGCGCAAACGATTAAGGAGAAAAAAGCACCCTTAAACTTTGTAGAAGCAGAAGCCAATGTAAAAGCTAGCAGCTTCCATCTCCTCGTCGGAAACAAGAAGTTTCCCATCCCTGCCACGCACACCCATCCTCTCGCTCAGGGGACCGAGCTCGCGATCGTCCCTCTCGGCCTCCCATATCTCGGGAAAGGTGCGGTGAAACTGCAACTCGAGGTTGAAGTCATCTGCCAGGGCGCGGAAGGCCTCCCAGGGGACGACGTACTCGGGGACCTCCTCGACGGCCTCGTCGAGGAAGAAGTTGTACTTCCAGCCAAAGGCGGGGCGGAAGACCCCGTCTTCGGGGGTCTTTCCCGGGAAGCGAACGCGGTAGATGGAGTTGCCCCATTCCGCACCAGATTCTGCTTCGCCCTCTTCCTTCTCCTCCCCTTCCTCTTCTTCCTCCCCCTGGCCGTCTTCCTTTTCTCCGTCTCCTCCAGACTCTCCGGCTGCTGCTGTTGCTGCTGATTTTTCCGCCGAGGCGCCACGCTCCTTCCTGGAATTTTTCTTCTTCTCGTTGAACTTCCTAACGTGCTCACCCAAGACGTCGGAGTTGGGGATGCAGCCGATGAACCTGCCGCCCTTCTTGAGCGCACCGGCCACGTTGCGCAGCATAGTCCGGGCGTTCTCCTCGGACTCAAAGGCGTAGTGCATGGAGAACATCATGGACACGACGTCGAAGCCTCGGTGGTTCATGGGGGACGGGTCGAAGCCGACCTGCCGTATGATGTCCAGGTCCTCGATAGACTCGCTGTAGCAGTCCTTGACGTAGAAGCGACCGTCAAACAGCCTCCCCCTACCGCTACCGCCGCCGCCACGTCCGCCGCCACGTCCACCACGTCCACCGCGCGAGCTGAGGTTCCTGTACCGGTCCCTAGCCTGCTGGATGCTCACGTCGGCCGGGTCGAGCCCGACGTAGAGCTCTATGGGCTGCGGGGCGGCCTGCCACTTGTTCAGGTCGCCACCCTTGCCGCACCCGATATCGAGGACGAGCAGGTCCCGGCCGCTGGAGCGGCCCAGCTCGCGCGACCCGGGCGCGTGGTCCTCGTCGGGCGAGTATCGTTGTATGATGCAGCTCTTGACCCAGTTGTTGAAGACGCGCAGGCCCTTGATGCGGCTCTCGCGCGTGCGCCACTCCCTTCCGCGCTCGGGAACGCTGTTGTAGTGCTCGCGCACCACGTTGATACCGTGCCGCGCGCTGGCCTGCTCCTCCGCCGCGCGCTGCGCCCTCCACCACTGCTGCTCCCGCTCAATCTGTCGCTGCCGGATCGCTTCCCGCTCTGACTCTGTGATGCGGGACCGCGTCCCTGGCCTCTTCTGCTTGCGTGGCTGCTCAGACGGCGACACCGCGCGCCGCTTGGCCGGCTGCAGTTGCTGCGCGTTGTACGGTTGCGGGAGGTCGTCTTGGGCTTGGCTGGTGCTGCTGCCTTCGTTTGCCGGCCGCTTGCCGTTGGTGTTGACGTTGCCACCCGATGAAGCCGAGCCGTTATTCTCACGATCAGCCATCTTTTTTTGGAGCGTTTGCTAGTCTTGTTGTTTTTGAGGGAAACTGGTGTGAGGGACGGTCTCGGGGAGAATAATGAAGGATGCACGGTTGGTGAAGCTAAGGTCACACCGGTGGGCCTCGACCCAATTGCACGGTGTGGCTGTGCGCAACGCGCCACAACTTACAGCATACGTGGGACATGTATTATACCCGGTATGTTCAACCTGTCACTATTAGTATTATAAGAAAAATCTCCACATCCTATTTCCAATATCACTGAAAGACAATGGCATTGTCTGCCGATGTCGTATTGACGACTCGTCGACGAGACCACAGTTTTCCTGAGTCTGTGCCGCGTATAGACGTCACTTTTCCCCGTACGACGGCTTTACATCCACTCGTGATAATGGAAGCATCACTGGCCAACTTTTGAGAAACTCCCCATGATCACACCTGGACACTCTCGACATCGCCGCCATTCACAAGCATGCGCCCTCTCTGTCACTCATGGATACCACCCACGAACTCACCGGGGGCGGGGGCAAGACTCCTAGTAAAGCGCTCGACGAATAATGACGACATGCTGGCCCAGCTAAGCTATCCAGCCCGGATGGATAATGTTTTGGCTCTCAATCTACCTCCACCAGGAGCAAGTTCAAGATTTCATGTGTTGACATCTCGGCGTCCCCTGAGGTTAAGGTCGCTGGCTTCGAGACGTGGAAGGCGATGAATCTTCAACCTAGCTGCGTCTGTTGACCGTTCCGATCGATAGCCGCCGTCAGAACACCAAGCACATTTACATCCGACCCCTTTTGTCTTACAAGATTAGCGAATTTGGCAATAGGGGAGACGTGGAGGAGAAGTTACAGACAGAGGCCGAGACGTACTTGTGGCTTCAGCAGCATTGCCTTGATATGCTCATCCCCTTAGATCCATGGATTCGGCTTGCTTGATGGGACCTGCGTGAGTCAAAATGAACCTCATGATCGGCATGTACGAGCCACTAGCCTTCTTGACAAGATCTCTCGGCCCCAATCAATGCTGTACCTAACCAGAGTCTTATCCTATGGAGCATTTGGTCGGCGTTTCGATGGCTGCTACGGCGCCCTATCCCGTCTCAACCCATCCCCATCCCAAGTGACCTAAGAAATTCTCTCGACACGGGGTACGTGATACTAGGCGAGGTCACAGGCCGGCCTCTTGCTGGCTCATGGGCAAGATATCTGACAGATGAGGACTATTAGCCAGAGGCTCTCCGCAGTATGGCTCATACTACCCTGTCACTGTATAAGAACCCTCTGCCGCGTATCGGTTCACTTGGGCTCAGCCCACAACGGGGGTTGTCGGCCTGACGGACCATTCTCTCGATGTACATCTCCAGATGCACGATCAAACGAGGCTATCCCGTCTGTCATTCCGCACGACAGGACATATACATCGGTCTAACCGTTCATCTCGGGCCCTCTCTCCTTCCAGGATATCAAGCATCTCCACCAGCCAAACGCGGTGCATAATCAGAGAGACGGCCCTACGAGCTACCATGCGACACTTCGTCCGCCGTGAGTATAGTGATGGCCCCTTCTACTACACCTTTACCAGTCTCCAGTAGAACGGCATATTGGTCGATGACCAGTGAGACGTCCAGGCCACCCTCGACCTAGAGCGGGCTAACTCGCTGCCCGTGAGGATGCAGCTCCCGCCTTCCTGGCTGTCAGACTGAGTCGTTGATGGGTTTGGAGAGCCCGGATCCGTCCAGGAGCTGGATTCCCTATTCAACGAGTACTTTGATCTTACGAGGCCGAGGAAGAGAAGTTGAATGGCGGCGGCCTTTACCATGGCCCCATCATGCGCCATATCTGGAAGAGTGGAAGCTACTGTTATTTCCAAGCCGTCTCCATCCCAAAGGTATAACCGGCCTGTTTTGGTGCGCATATGCAGCCGCTCTTCAACATGGAATACGTCGAGGACAAAATCATTGATAAAGTCCCTTTTTGTTATAGCTTTGGAGCTTTGGGGCGCAGCAGGCCATTAGCAAAAAACTCAAGGATCACAAGAGCTACCTTGATGATGCCATCAAGACGTACAAGGTTGACAGGGCGTCTCTTATCAGCAGGACATCTATCCAACGACGAGGCTGTTGGGGTGGCGCAGGCTGTCAACATCAAGGTCCTGGAAGAGGGCGTCAGGGGAGGGGCTTTCACTTTTTGGTAATATCGAGACGTGAGGCAGGGTGAGAAACAAGAGGCGTGTACCGTATGTTTTTCTGGTATTGTTCGTTAATGTGTGCTTCCGGGATGGTGTGAATCAGTGATGAGTACTAGTACCGCGACAGAAAACCAAGTATTGAGTATCCAGTGCAATTCCAGTACTACGCTTAACAGTCATCAGTGTGATCGTCTCCTAAATATCATTCATTAAAAACTGTCACAGGCTACGATAGAAATAGAAAGTTGAAGTATGTTGTTAAAGATTAAGGGCATATGCAGTTCTCATCATTTTTCGTAAGTCTAAACGCCTCGCAAACAAGATAAAAAGCATTCTCCATTTAGTAAACCTCGAGAACATAACGTCCAGCCTCCTTAAGCTTCTCGATCTCCTTCTTCGGGTCAACCTTCCTGACACCGTTGCCCTTAGCCTCGAGCTCGATAGCCTCCTCGAGCACAGCCGTGACATCGGGAACGGGCCATGTAGGACCGCAAAGGTAGAAGCTTCCCTCCTCCTTGATGTAGGCATTGACAATATCCTTGACTGTCTGGCGCATGCGGTCCTGGATGTAGATCTTCTGGGGCTGATCACGCGAGAAGGCTGAGCCGATGAGCGTGACAACACCCGCATCCAGGTAGGCCTCCCACTCCTCGCCGTACAGGTACTCCTCGCGCTTATGTCGGGAGCCGAGGTAAAGCAAGATGGAGCCAATCTCCTTGCCCTGGGCCTTCTGCATGGCGCGGTACTGGACAAAGGCGCGGAAGGGGGCGAGACCGGTACCTAGACCGGCCAAGATGAGAGGGGCAGTGTCCTTGACGGGCAGCTTCATGACCGAAGGTTTGACCGAGGCCGTGACGGTGGTGCCAGGCGTCAGCTGGCTGAGGTAGTGACTGGCATGGCCGTAACGGGTGCGGCCCTTGCTGTCGACCCAGTCGACCACGACAATCATGAGAGACACGGCGTTGGGGGTCACGGCCTGGGCCGAAGCAATCGAGTACTCACGGCGCTTCAGAGGAGCGATAATCTTGGCCAGGTCGTGGAAGGCCGGGCGCGCCGACGTGAACTCCTCGAAGATGTCAACGTACGTGAGCGTGTCGACCTCGCTGCGCTTCTTGAAGTCCTCGGCGCCCTCCGTACCACCCAGCTGCTCCAACTTCTTCTTCTGGGCCTCGTCCGTGGCAAACTCGGCAAGAGCCTCGTAGAACCTCTTTGGGGGCTTGCCCACAATGTCGAGGTTCTGACGGAGAGCTTGGAACACAGTGCGCACCTCGAAGGCATTGGGGTCCTCACGGGCGGGAACCTGGACCAGCTGGTCGGGGTTGAGGCCATAGATGTTAATGAAGGTGTTAACCTGCTCCTCATCGTTCTCGGCGTGGATGCCAAGAGCCTCACCAATCTTGTAGGTGAGGCCAGAGTCGCCGAGGTCGAACTCGATGTGGAAGATGTTACGGTCATAGTCAGGGGGAGTAAGGCGCCTGTTCTCCTTGACGCGGATGGTCGAGGTCTTGACGGGGAGGTCAGGTCGCAAGGCGGTTTCGGTGCTGTACGCCTCCTTGAAGGCCAGACCCAGGGCAGCGGCCTGCCAGTCGCGGAGTTCCAGGACCTCCTCGGTCTCCTCCTTGTCGAAAGAGACGAAGCCGTTGGGCTGGATGGTGGCGGGCAGCTGAGGGTCGACGTAGTCGGCATTCACCTCGGCCCAAGTGGCGGGGACTTCGACCTTGCGCAGGCACTTGCCGACGGCATCGACGCATTCCTCAAGGGTAGGAGGGTGGCCCTCTACCAAGCTGAGCTTGCTCACGTCGTTAGGGCTGACCTCGGACTTGGCAACCTGTAGGAAAGCAAGCTCCAGAAGCAGCTTGGAGGCGGGAGGCTTCTCAAAGGCGGGCGAGAGTGACACATCCAGGATATACAGCTCAGCCGACTTCTCCTGGAGAGCTTTTCGAAACGTAGTCGGGAGGCGCTTCTCTACCTCATCCTCTTTGAAGTTGGCTAGCTTGACTAGGATCTTTCCCTGCTGGCCGAGGTTCTTGGTGACATCGATAGATATGAGTAGACGCTCATCGCCGACAACAACGACGTCAACTTCATCAGCAGTGTAGGGGGCCTCAAGGGCCTTCTTGGACGAGCGCAGGTCGGCTCGGAAGATACCACCCTGCGTCAGGTTATCATAGGACTCGTGGACGTAGACATTTGTCTTGGACTCCTGGGACAAGATGCTGCCAATGATGCTAGGAGAGCTGACATTGGGGGAGTCATCGACATCCCAGAAGACGTACTGCTCGGCCTGGATCAGCGAGGGGAAGGCCTTGGCCTCGGGGCCGTTGCCAAAAATCTTGTGAAGTGTCTCGACAATACCCTGGGGTGTGATTTGCTGGAAAGGGGTGTACTTGACGTCGAGCGTGTCGGGCTGGTCGGCGAACTTGTCAGAGAAGGCAACGGCGGTCAGAACGTCGGCGTACAGAGCAGACTGGACGGCTTCATCGTCAACCGCAGCATTGTCCTGTACCTGGCCGAGAACAGCAATGGTGCGGGTCGAGGCTGGGATGGCCTTGAGAAACTCCTCCTCAAGGAAGGGACGGTAGACGCGGACGTTGACAACACCAGCCTTGCCGCCATCAGCGGCGATCTTGGTCAGGACCTGCTTGGCAGTCTGGGACTCGACACTGCCAAAGGTGACGAGGACGATGTCAGGAGTCTCGTGGCCGTGGTACTCAAAGGGTTCATAGACGGTACCAAGCTCGTCGTTGAAGAGCTTGAGCAGCTCAATAACCTTGCCGGCGGTGTCGAGGTGCTTGTTCAGCTTGCCAACCTCAGCGGAGAGCTTTCGGTACAGATCAGCGACGCCAGCCTCACTAAGGGCATCAACCACACGCAGAGTCTCCCTAGCAACACGGATGCCATCGTAGACGTGAAGAGTGGGGATGAGAGTGGCCAGGAGGGTCGAGAAGATAGACATGTGCTGGGCCTCATACGTAGAAGAGCTGGAAACAAGACCGAGGCCGAGGTCTTCGGCAATCCTCAGGGGGGTGTCGTAGTCGGAAACCAAGCCGTTCTCAGCAGAGAAGTCGACGGCAGCGATGTGGGCGACAAAGGGGCTCGAGACATCGTATAGAAGAGAGAGCTGGTCGAGACTGCTACGGAGCTGGCGCAGGCTGCCCGAGGCACCGACGAGGGTCTGGGGGATGTGGCGCTTTGAAACATCGAAGTCGGGAGAGAAGATGTAGCCCAGAGCGACTGAACCGGCGCCGGTACGTGTCTGCAGAGGCAGGACCTTGGGGGCGTAGTCGTGGACGTTCTTGTCACTGTTAGCAGCCCAGGCCTTGAGGGCGACGTCGAGGTCGAAAGTGTCGGGGGAGTAGGCGAAGATCTTGTCGGAAAGGGTGTAGGCAATCTGCTGAACCAGCAGCTGGGCCGTCACATAGGTAGGACCAGATATGGATGACAGAGTGACGAGCTGACCAAAGGGAAGAGTCGAAGCCACCTTCTTGAAGCCAGCGGGCTCCTGAGTTGGGGAAGAAGACATTATGAGTCTGGGTATATTATTTCCCTCCAAGGAAAGAAAGGAGACCCTATACGACTAGCCACCAGAGAGAAGAGATATTCGAGGGACAGGGTATTCCCAGGAACGGTTTCTGATATGGCAGAATGTCTTGAATAGAAAGAGACGAAAAAATTAGATAATGAACAGAGAAGGGAAAGAAAAAACATTCATGACTACGGTTTCTCTACCCCACCAAGCCAAGAAAAGACTAAGCACAAAAGATGGCGGGAAAAAAAAAAGAAGTCTCTTGTCCAGGGCAAATGGCAGAGAAAAATTGCGTGCTAGCGGCATTCCCCCAGGCCCGTCAGACCGTGGTCCGGAGAAATAAATCGTGTATTTCCCTATGGAGTGCGGCGAATCACGCAATGGGTCATTACCAAAAGCGGATTAGTCGCAGAAAAATGTCAGGATGCAACCGCCGAAGGACCCCGAAACTCGGGAAGGGGCTCACGGTCGCTCCTTCCGATTGCCGGCATGATGGAATCCCCTCGTATAGTGAGTCGGACCATCGGTCGCTCCTACCGACTGCCGTTTGCCTCGCACCTGCCTCTGCCAACACTGCTAACATTTTCCATACAGCAAGTGTGAACGACTATGCCGACGTCGCTTCCCTATTTTGCACTTGTAATCGTCGTTATCCTCAAGTAGATACATCCCCATTAGTAATGACCGACATTTCTGGCATGAGCCACCCATGCTCGTAATTTTCTTATTCTTTGTTCTTTACACGCTCCTTTTTTCCCTTCTATCTCATCCGATAATTGCCACGCTTCTGGTTGGTTCCTGGATGGAGCACCACATGATTAGGTCATCATCCAGCGTGCACCTTAAAAGTAACACCAGAATATGGTGCATACATGATGAACTTGGCCTTTATTGCAGTATTGATCATCTTATCAGATGTGAACTCGCATTTCTTGCCTGCGTTGCGAGTACGAGCACTTTGTGGCTTAGTAATATTCCTAAGGTAGCCACGGTCCCTGCGTCGTTCATCTTCTGTCTGCCCCACGAGCTATGTACCCCAGATCCGTTCCTTACGTGAACCTTTTATCACTTTTGAGTCTCCGTTGAAGACTGCGACGAGATGATTGCCCTCAGGAAAAATTATGCAGTGGTGGCTCATTCTTTTAGAAGAAAATTCGATTTAAAATACCATGATTTTCTCGTAATTTTTGTAGCTAACTTGCTCAACTCCCATGAGCCATGATCGGCTGAAACTCATCGACACGCCTCTGCGCGTTTTGTGCGTATTTTAGCGTCCTTTGTCCCTCTTTGGTGGCAATCACTTTCCCATGTATTGATACCTACAACTCGTACGAGCAAGGCTTCCATCTCGTCGCGTTGAATGCGTCTTTTGTGCCTGATCAGATGACATCGCTGTCATATATCCTCATCGTCTGACTTTTTTTTCTTCTATGTATTGATCTCTTAAGAGGACTCGAAGACCTTTTCTGAGATCCTTTCTTTACGTTCTCGTTCTCGTTTCTTCCTCCTCCTCTTCCTTCTTCAAGAGAAAAAGGAGAGCCAACGCTTCCCCCCAAAAAAGTGACCTCACCTATAACAACAGTCCAATTTTTACTGTGTTTGAGCTCTGCTCCTACACCGACTACTCCTTCACACATATATACATACGCACGCACCCACGCACAAAATCAACTTCCTTCTCGGTGGGCCTAATACCCCTTCCGCGGGTCTTCCCTCCTTGCTGCTATTCACAATGGCATCGATCCCCACGGCCATTACATCATATCTCGTCGAGAATTTACACTGTCCGTCATGTGTCTCGGCCATTAAAACGGGTCTGCACGATGCATTTGGCGACTGCATCTCCTGGGTCTCGCCCAACCTCGTCACCTCAGTCGTCACAGTCGAGCACAAAGATAGCGATCTCATCTCGGTTACCAGCATCAAGAGGACCCTCGAGGACCTTGGTTTTGAAGTCTCGGCAGTCGACACTTCAGCTCACATCGCCAATGACTTAGCCTCATCAGACAGGCCTCCTCGAGGCGATGATATCCACCCTCAGCCTACGGAGCAGCCTGGTAGTGACTGGCCCCTCCTCTGGCTCGAGAGAAGGTCTACGCGAGAACTCGAGTCTGGCTACGCGACCCATCTTGAGGTCTGCCAAGAGTGTCGCTCGGCAGCTGCATCTGGAGAACCGTCTTCTCACGCTACCTCATCCAGGGTGTCGCCTGATGCTACACCCCCACACCGAGCTGTTGATATCACTGCCCACCCCATCCCGGATGCCCTACAATCCGTTGTCATCGGCAATGACGACGGTTCCGCACCACAATGGCGGGCAACCATCTCGATCGGCGGCATGACCTGCAGCTCATGCTCCAACGGTATCAGGGAAGAGATGAGCAAGCTCCCTTGGGTCTCAAATATCGCTGTCAACCTCGTTACTAACAGTGCCACGGCCGAGCTGGTCGATCCCCAACGGGTTCACGACCTTGCCGGGGCCATCGAAGACCTTGGCTATGACGCCACCATCGATAAGGTTGTCAATGTCAAAGAACTGGTCAAGACCAAGAGCCAAGACGAATGGCGCGAGGTGCAAATCAAGATTAACGGCATGTTCTGTCCACGCTGCCCGCATCGCCTGAGCAAGAGCCTATCCCTTCTAGGACCCCACCGCCTACAGATACTCGAGGAGCCCACTCTGGGTACCTCGCTCATAAAGATCAAGTACCGGCCTGATGCGCCCTCCTTCACCATCAGACACATCATGTCTGCCATCTCCGCCACCGACCCGTCTCTAGGCCCGTCTATATACCATCCGCCCACCATGGAAGACAGGGCAAGGGACGTCAGAACCAAACATCAGAAGGAGCTAATACGGAGAGAGCTTGTCGCCTTGGCTCTTGCTGTGCCCACTTTCGTCTTGGGCATTGTATACATGAGCCTAGTCTCCCACTCAAACCCCACCCGTCACTACCTCACGAAGCCCTGGAAGTCGGGGGTCTCTCGCTTGGATCTAGTACTCTGCCTGCTGGCTACGCCCGCCTGGGTCTACTCGGCCGATATGTTCCATAGGAGAAGCATCAAGGAACTCCGGGCTATGTGGCGCCCTGGCTCCAAGATGCCCGTCCTAGCCCGCTTCTACCGCTTCGGCAGCATGGATATGCTTGTCTCTCTCGGCACCACTATCGCTTACATCTCCTCGGTCGCCCAGATGATTGCCACGGCGGCTAGCGGTGGCAAGGCTATGTCCGAGGGCCTCATGTACTTTGACACCGTGGTCTTCCTGGTGCTCTTCATCCTGGCGGGCAGAATCATCGAGGCTTACAGCAAGTCCAAGGCCGGAAACGCTGTTGAGATGCTAGTCAAGCTCAGGCCGGACACGGCCATCCTAGTCGATCAGGATAAGTCTCGGGGCCAGCTGAGCACCAAGGTCGCGTTAGATCTCATCGACCACGGCGACATCATCATGGTTCAGCACGGCGCATCCCCGCCCGCCGACGGTGTAATTGTCACAGGCCAGACAGACTTTGACGAATCCAGTCTTACAGGAGAGTCGCGTCCCGTCCCCAAGGTCGAGGGCGACTCTGTCTTTTCAGGCACCATCAACAAGGGATCCATGGTAACGGTGCGGGTGACCGGCACGGCTGGTCGGTCCATGCTGGACCAGATCGTCGACGTCGTGCGTGAGGGACAGACGAAGCGAGCCCCTATGGAGCGCATCGCTGACGTCCTGACGAGCTACTTTGTCCCTGTAGTGACTCTGCTCGCCATAATCACCTGGTTCGTATGGCTGGCGCTGGGTCTCTCCGGGGCCGTCGGCGGCCACGACGACATGAAGTCGACGAGCGACTGGGTGGCTTTCGCTTTTCGATTTGCCATCGCTGTCTTCGTCGTGGCCTGCCCGTGCGGGCTTGGCCTGGCCGCACCGACGGCCATATTCGTGGGAAGCGGTCTGGCCGCCAAGTATGGCATCCTGGCCAAAGGCGGCGGCGAGGCATTTGAAAAGGCGTTCCGGCTAGACTGTGTCGTTTTTGACAAGACAGGCACCCTGACACAGGGAGGCGAGCCACGCGTAACAGACTCACTTGCTTTCCCCGCAGGAATTCCCGACGGCATGGACGAGGCGACACTCTGGTCGAGTCTGAGCGCTGTCGAAATAGCCAGCAGTCACCCCATTGCCCGAGCCATTGTCGACTTCTGTGGCGTCAACCAGGTATCCATTGAGACGGAGAAAGTCGAGGAGCTCCCCGGAAAGGGTATGACGTCAAAGTGCCGGCGCACCGGATCGATTGAGGAAGGATTCTCCCTAGCTGTTGGCAACGCCCACCTGCTCGCCAGCCTAGCCGTCGATGTAAGCCGGCCTATTGAGGCCCAACTGGAAACATGGAAGCGGGAAGCCAAATCGGTAGCCCTAGTAGCACTCCAGCAGTCCCCATCGGGCCCATGGATGCTAGGCGCCGCCCTCGCCATCTCGGACCCCATCCGGTCCGAGGCTCCCGCGGCCATCAGAGAACTTCAGGATCGCGGCATAGAAGCCTGGATGCTGTCGGGCGACAACCTGACTACGGCGCGCGCGGTGGCACGTCAAGTGGGCATTCCGCCGTCCAACGTCCTCGCCGAGGTCCTGCCCTCGGAGAAGGCCGATAAGATCAAATACCTGCAGGCCACGGCTACACGTCGCGGCAACACACCCCACGCAATGGTAGCCATGGTGGGCGACGGCATCAATGACTCGCCAGCGCTAACGGCGGCAGACGTCGGCATAGCCATAGGATCGGGGAGCGATGTGGCCATCTCGAGCGCCGACTTCGTCCTGTCCACGTCACATCTGGGCACCGTCCCCACGCTGCTGGACCTCAGCCGCACCGTCTTCCGTCGCATCAGGACCAACTTCTCCTGGGCAGTCATATATAACCTCGTCGCCATCCCATTTGCGGCCGGGTGTTTCTACGGTGTGCGCACCCCCAGCGGTTCCCGCGTCACCCTGCCACCCGAGTTTGCTGCCCTGGCCATGGCCCTGTCGAGTATCAGTGTTGTCCTGAGCAGTCTAGCCTTGAGGATCAAGTTGCCCATCATTGGATTTAGGCCAAGGCAGACTGTGGGGTAATTCCTTTTCCCTCCTGCTCGCATCAAGTCCTTTGTTTCAGCTCATTCAATCAGGGAACCTTTTATTTTAGTTCGCTAAGGAGTTAATACGAGAAAACAATTGATGTTTGCTTGTTGGTCTTTTCGAACATCGCATTTCCCTGATATGATGGACCCTAGCGAAACTTGGCAAAAGAAAAAAAAGGAAATAAAGAAGAAAAGACCGCCTTGCGACTCTCATGGGTTCAATGGTAGATGCGGGGTAGTGTCTAGCGGTACCATCAGTAGCCGGCCTCTGTCGTACGGTATTACTACGGTTCTACTACTAGTAGTACTAGTAGTAATTATAGGTGGTACCGCCTCGGAATACTCGGTAACGTAGCAACTAATATTACGTCGTTATAACAGGGCTGTACTCGTAATACAAGGCTGTCCTCGTAAGCAATTGGGGGGGGAGGGGGGCGCATTGTCATACCCTGACGAATTACATTGACTCGTCGTTTGGATCGAAATGCCTCATCATATTGGGATACATGTAATAGTCCTACTTGCATGAATGAAAGAGTCCGTTGGCAACTTGGTAATATACTCAAAGACCGAAAGTGCAGTTGCATCATTTCACCCGCACACAAAGCATGGTAAGATGTCCTTTTTTTTAGTCGCTCTTGGCGAATCTCTGTATTACCAATGACTACTCATATATATTTATCCGTTTCCCTGTGACTAAGCCAGTCACTTCTCATTGACCCCAAAAAAACACAAGGACCCTGTAGATCGGCCGTAAGGTGAATTAGAAAAAAAAACTCCCATCCTTTCTGGGTTTTATCTCCTCCTATTGCGCCTCTCGTATAATCCCAATAGTAAAAAAGGAATCTGCCCAGAGAGATGCCCCTACCGCTGGTATATTCATCGGACAATTCAAAAAACCCCTCCAAAAAAACGCCAAGCACCGTTTCAAAACAAAGTAAATAAAAAAGTCAGATAGTAGCCCGTAAAACGCCGACGATGCCAAATTCAAGGAAAAAAAGAAAGAAAAAATGAAGGCGAAATTGGTGGTGAAAACAAGGTAACATTCAAAGCCGAGGTTCCTTTTCATTGTCGTTTTCGTTTTTGCCATGTTGTTCGGTGGCACAACGAATCGTGTTACATCAGCGCGCAGCCACGCTCCAGAGGCGCTCCCAGACGCCACGCCTTTGCCGCTTCTTGGTGGCGGCACCGTCGTCCTGGACCTGGTGGTAGGACTCGGTCGAGATCTCGTAGGGTAGCATGCGAGCGTCCGAAGGGATGCGCCGGTACTGAGGGGGCTTGGCCCCGTCAGTGGTGTCCACAATGACGTGGACGGGCGAGTCGTAGAGGTTTCCCTGAGGCAGGGAGCAGGTGTAGGCATCATGCTCAAGGCTGAGGGGCGTGGCAGACCTCGAGTGCTGGCCGGCCGACGAGATGGACGACGCGTAAGAGCTGGCAGAGCTGCTGTAGGACAGGCCCGGAGGTGTGGAGCCGTTGCTGGCGGAGCGGCAGTGCTCGGGGCTTGGGGTGCGGGTGCGAGACTGGCCGCGAGACGAGACGGGGCTCGGGTACCGACGCTGGGCAGCGTACATTTCCTGCTGGCGCTTCTTCTCCTCGCGCTGCTGCATCTTGCGGGCGTGCCGGTCGGCAACCTTCTGGCGGAGGGGCTCAAGGAAATAGTCGAACTCGCGGTAGAGGTCGTGCTCCTCGATGCGCAGGTCCCACTCGAGGAGGAAGAGGAGCTGCTTTTCCATGGTGTTGACTTCGGTGCGGCTGAAGCCAAAGTGGTAACAGTCGGTAGTGATGTTGGTGTAGTTGGCCCAGTGCTTGTTCTTGGGGGAGCTGTCGTTCAGGTACTTGGCTGCCAGTATGAGCGAGGCAAGGAAGATGCGGTGGGCGGTGCAGCGGATGCCACGGGCCTGGGGCTGCAGGCGAGACTTGAGACGGTTCAGGTAGACGAGGCTGGACATGAGAGTGGGGACCTGGACGTTGGACGAGACGACGAGCTGGGTGATGAACTCTTCAACGGTAGGCAGCGACTTCTCCTCGGCGGCAGCCTCAGGCTCGGGAGACTTGGGAGGGGTCGGGGGCAGGTCGGAGCGGGAGTGAGATGTCGGGTCACATGAGATGACATTCTGGGCGGCGTGGGCCAGGTAGGCAATCATGTCGCGGCTGACAGGCTGGTAGACGAAGTGGTCGAGAGCCGTCTTGTTGAGCTCGGCCATGGTGAGTTGTCGTGAAGCCATGGTGAATGTTTATGACTGACGATGGTGACTGATGGCCGGAAGCAACGGTGTAAGTCCAATGGCTTCCCTTTATGGAAAGAGGTTTCCTTTTAAGAGAAGGTGGTTGTGATAGGCCTAAACAGCCAAACGGCAAAGCAAGAAAAAAGAACTTGACGCAATTGTGAAGGGGAGTGAAGAAGCACAAGAATGAGGTCAAGTATCGCTTATATCACAAGCGAGTATGGCTCTGTTCTCCGTGTGTACACGCGGCGATGCGCGATGACTGATGACGGTGGTGGCGGAGAAGGAGGTGCACGAGGCAGTGTCGTGGGATCCACAAGTGTGGAAAGGAAGGGAAGGGTGGCGTGTCAGGGCCTCGTGGGTGGGGGGGCTCAGTGGGAAAAGCGACGGGACACGGAGTGGCGGGGTTCAGCTGTTCAAGGCTCGGAAGCGTGTCCACGGGTGTGTCCACAGGTGTACGGGTGCACGGGCTGTCCGGGGGTCTGGATCTGCGCTATGCGGGCGGCGCTATGCAGTAGGCAGGGGTGCTGAGTAGGTCCCTTGTGTAGGTACGTACTCGGTAGCCGTTTGCTTGGTTTGCTCGGTTTGCTTGGTCTTTGTCAAGTGATGCCGGTCGAGGACAGAGAGTGATGAATCCTGAAATATCCGGGAGATATATTCTTTTTCAGCAAAGACGGGTAACGAGATGCTGCGGCGTGGAAAGTTGCGTGTCGTCCCAACGCAAGTGTGCAGGCGGAGACGGGCTAGCTAAGAAAAGCTGCGTGTTTCGTTGTGGCTGACGCTCAACGGGTGTAAGGACGAGACGAGTGCGAGAATCCGAACCAGCGGAAATAGCTTTCTTCGTTCGTATCTTGTATCGGCAGGGAATAGGAAAAAGGAAGGATCTTTATAAGCTGAACAATGCTCGTAATCGAGGGCGGTGAATTGACGAGTGATCGTGACGGAGCTGTTGGGCTAGTATCTGCCTGTGAAGCTGGTTTGACCGAGAGATATGACGGGGACAGATGAGGAGCGATCTCTATTGCCCAGATGGTCTCGATGGTTGATTTCTGTCTGTTTGATGTAGAGGCAACAGAAAAAAAAAGTTTGGAGATTCTCGAGGGTATATATCGCCCGATTTAATCTTCGGAAGGGGTTGAACAGTCAAGTCAAGTTCTCCGTCAATAAAGGGAAAGCGAAGGGGAAAAAAAAAAAGGGAAGGAAAATTGGCAGGCTGGGAGGGAGAGAATTGAATAGATAGAGAGAAAAAAAGGGAGTGAGTGAAGGAGGCGTTTGTACTCGTTGCCGAGTAGCTAGAACAAGCCTTGCCGTGGTATGTGATTATCGCAAATTAGGAACCCGCCCTTGCGAAGAAAAGAGAAAAGAATTGGGGGGGGAGGGGGGGGGGAAGTGAAGGAGAAGGTGAAGTGAAGTGGAAAGAGAGAAAATCGACCAGCGAAAGAATTCCAGAGAGGCGAGACTAGACCAAAAAGCTAGACAAATCAAAAGTAGACAAGCCAAAGGCAAGGAGGCGAGAGAAAAAAAAAAGAAAGGAAGGGAAGGAGTAGAAGCAAGAAGGGGGAGGGGCGATGGGCGTGTCTCAAATGTGCAGCGGCAGGAGCTACCGGGGTGTGAGGGCAGCAAATAAAAGCTGGTATGCGGCAGAGCTATACTGGGCAACGGGATAATATCATGAAAGTGAGAGAGAGTGTCGCAGAATAGAGGGGGGGGTTCTGACACGTTTAATACTGAACTCGAGACATGGGCTTTTTATGAACAGATCCCCTTATCCAAATGCATTCTTACGCTGCTGTGTCATTATTACTGCAGTGTACGGGTACTGCGGTTGAGCGTCTCTGCTTCATGAAGCGCGCGCTCAGCTATTTTTGCCCATCCCCCCCTGGGTGTGGCCGCCGTGCGATGACTCCTACTCGATTGGCCAGCATCGGATATCCGCCCCAAACCACTGCCTTGAATGCCGCGCGCTGATCCGTTTGACCGTATCGACTGGATTATGGATCTTTGGTTGGGTTGAGTTCCTTTGGATCGACGCCCTTGTTCACACACGCGCACGCACACGCACACACCTGTCGATATGTAACCCCTGGCCCTTCTCTTCTTAGGCTTCGGCCCTGCGTCGATAGCCTACGTATGGAGACACGTCAGGGACCCCTCTCTCCCTCCCTCCCTCCCTCTCTCTCCCTCTCTCTCTCTCTCTCCACGTAAGAGGGTGGGGGAGGGTGGGGGAGGTTGGGCGTGTGTGCTGTCCAGAGACATTATAGGACAGCCATCGGTGCCAACCAACCCTTGGTGTCGTTGGACTCGGGAGACCAATTGGCACGAGTATGAGAGGTTCATCATTTGCTCGTAATAATGGATAAATACTATACATCGTTTGCAGGTAATTCTCGTGATATCTATTGATACTGTACTCGTATGACTACTCCCTAGCAGTACGGAGCAATGACGGCTACTGTACGAGCGGACAGGTAATGGTATCAATACCAATCCGTACACGTATCACCGTATATCGGACTATCAGTACGGCACGAGTCTATCCCGTGATGGAAGGGCAATGGCTCCCAGTATAGTCCATACTCGTAGTAATAGTAGGCTAGTAGCAATACCATCATGGGCCAGTTACTGATCAGCCCCTGTGGATACGTAGCGTGGCACCGTGTCCGTAGCGTGCTGCAGGGGGTTCCATGGCACACCCCGATAACCTTGACCAGCCTGTAAGCTGGTTGCCTATAAGCTCGTAGCTTGTAGGCTGTCAACGCTGGTCAGTCAGGTACCATCCATCATAAATACTCCGCAGTCTGCTCGTACTTGCGTACAGGTATGAGTACAGGCAGCAGGTACCGGGACTCACAGCCCTCTATAGCCCGTAGTCTAGCCTGCCCAGCCTGTAGTCCCGCCCCTCGGCAGCCCCGTCTGTCAGCAAGGGCGCCCAAGCTCTGGTACCCGTCCATCCGTTCAGGCACCCTGATTGGTTCCTGTTGCTGGAATCATGAAACGTGGTCTCTGATCCTCAGACAGCCGTGGGCCCCCCAGCCAAGCGAGACGGTACCACCTGCCATAACTTCTACGAGTACGAGTAGGTAACGATATGATCTGGTTGGCAGTCAGCAATCAGAGAAGCAAGGCAGTTAGTTCCTACAGCCGGACCAGCCTTGTCTCTACAGGTAAATTGTAATATCACGCACACGCACTCTCTCTCTCCTCGGATAGCGCACTGTCTCGCCCTATCACGCCTCCTGACTGGTCCCCTGGTGACACCACGCAATCGATGCCATTTCACGGCTCGCGTTTCTCAATCTTGATCGTTATCGACTCACATCACCGTACTCCGCAAAAGTCCGTACAGGCAATGTTACTCTCTAGACTCTCGCGGAACATGGCAGAGGAAGCGAGCAGGTAAGGGAACCAGGATAAGGTAATACTAGTCCGTCTTTTTGCTTTCCTAGCTTGCCCTGGACCTGAACCGACCTGCTGTCCCTGCCAAGTTTCCTCCCTTTACCGGGCCCAACACAGAAGCAACCCGAAAAAAAAAAAAAGAAGTAAAAAAAAAAACCAATATTATATCCACACCGCATATGTCTGTCTGGCGCCACATATACGCAGGGGCCAACTCACAGAGGCAAACGAAGGGGTCGAGGAAGAGAGCCAAAGGGAAAGTCGGATATAGGGAAAAGAACCGAAAGTCTAACTGGCACACCGACGGACGCCCTTTCCTTTTTTCCTTTTTTTTCCTGCTTTTCTATCCCCCTTCTGATAAATCGTGTTAATTCCATCCGTACCGAGTCTTCTGCACGCTATACGAAATATATCAAGACAAACATCCAAGACAGAACAGGTCATCTCCACTTCCATCACAAGAGACACAGCATCGTCATCCAGTAGATCTTGGGCTGGGCACATACTTGGGAGAAGAACTCGAGCGTCACACCCACGCACAAAGGCGGCCTGCAGATTACGGAACTGACTATCTGTACGTATCTCATCACCATCCGGTTGCTACCAGTACGGAGTACTAGTAACTCATTATTAAGAAAAGAAGACTGACATGAGAGGGAGAAAAGAAAAAGGGAATAAAACACCCATCCATCCGGTGATACGGCCAGTATTACTGGACTCTACGGAGTAGTAGTACACGCTTCGCCGAGTTATATGTAATACTACGTATAGCCTTCTCTGGGCACCAAGTGCAGATGATGTTTGACCTCGATCCCTCGGCCATCCTCGGCTTCTCCAACTATTGCCCCCCCCCCCCCCCCCCCCCTTCTCCCCTAGGATCTGATAGACCATCAAGTATATAGAGACATGTCGGGTGCTCGCCCAGCGCACTCACGTACGTGCAACTCATGCCCATCCATCCCTCTTCTTATCTTTTTCTCATATCTATCCCTCTTCCTGATAGATTCCCTATTCTCCCGTCCGTCTTTGCCCTCACCCTCTGTCCCCCTCCTCCACGGTGATACGTACGTCATGCGATAATGCCTGGTATACAGGTACGTACGATAAGTTATAACTCATAATAAGCAGCATCAGTAGTATTGGTATCTCCCCTCCCAAATACGAGATATGCAATGGGGCTCATCGTTCCTGTCTGCTTTACTCCGTACATACTAATAAATCAACTACTTATCGCTAATATACCATCGTAATACTCCGTCATGGTGGCAACCCAACTTCTGAGACGTTCCCAAGTTCACCCGACCCCCTGCTGACGGGAGAGGTTCCACCGGGTTTGCCAACCAGCCCGTGCACATGGGGAATCACGGGGGATGCAAGGGAAGGATCTTTTTCCAATCAAGATTCCCAACCAAGAAAAAGAAAAGAAAAAAAAATGAGATCTCGCTCATTCTCGTACAAAACCGAGTCTTTGCTTTTTTTTTCTCTCTCTCATGAATAATGGTCGGCTTTTTTTTCCCCTTCCGACATATAATATACAGCTTCCTTCCCCCCTGATAACCACAGCAACCACAACTTTTTCAGCTCTTTTTCCTTTCTTCCCAGCAGCAACTCATAGTGCTGTCATGCACAAAGCACGGAGAGGATTACCTCATCAATATTGGAGCAGCGCCCAAGTTTATTAATATGTCACCTGTATTAATATGCTGCTTACCCTGTTAACCGTCCAAATAGATAAAATAAAAACCCACATGACACTTTTATTTTCTTGGTCCACCTGTGACAGAAGACTTGGCAGACTTGAACACTGCGCGATACCCAAGCTGAAACATGCAGCAAGAGAGAGAGAGAAAAAACCAGACATGATCAAACCCTGGGAATGCCGGTGTCAAAAATATGTGCATGTGGTTGGTGCCGAGGGCCCTCTTCCCTCCCACTCGAGAGCTCATCTGGCCCTCTCTTTCTCTTCTTGTGGCAGGCGGAGAGAGTCGTGTCCATCCGTTGCTGTGCTGCAACGCTGATGTCTCACATGACGAAAGAGTAGCGCTGTTCATGAAGTATGATGCATGCTACGAGACTGTGCGTGATCAATATTCTTCTTCTTTCTTATTCAGATCCATGTACAGGTGCGCATTCTACTCTCCGCTGCAGAGAGAAGTTGCCATTCTATCAATGTGACTACAAGTGTGTCATCAACATACACTTGACACTCTTGATGAAAATGTACCACAACACCCCCCTGACTACATATAGCAATACATGGATGTTTGATCATCGTCTTCACCCTCTCGCTTTCCTCCTCTTCTTCATGTTCAACCTTGATCCTGAATATCCCCCCCCCCCCCCCCCGCATTGTTTGCCTTTGCCTCACACAAGGCCTTTGCGCAATGTGCGCGTGCAACACGGGACGGTGCCCAATTGCGTATACCCGTACGTACTCATAGTAAAATTAGCTGAAGCAAACAGCCACGAAACCCCAAACCCCCAACCTCAAATCCCTCCCCCCACCCTCCCTATAACAGAGAAAAAAGAGGAGAGGGAAAAGAGACTGGCAGAGAGAGAATATAGAAAGGCAAAGTAAAAAGTCGTATGCATACTTTGCCTTCAATGCCTCGGTATCGCCGCACCCCTCGCTCTCGGTGCCGGAAGAGGCCGGTCCCGTTCGCTGCGCCCCACTCCCCGAGCTTGACCGCGCACCGCCACATATGGCAAGAAAGTCCTGCACCGGCTATCCCGTACCTACAATAGCTTGATTGAAACGTGCAGCTCATACGGCTCTGACCAGTATCGATACCATGCGTTTATACTAACGACGGTAATCTACATCTACACTTACTACGATACCATGGCATCAGTCGAGGCCTTTTTTTTCCTTTCTCTTCCGTCCCCTCTGCACAAGCAGGCCACCCCCCCACCCTCGGCTTGCGAAAGGACTCAGTGTCTGTCTACTAGTTAGTATATGTACACTCCAACCCAACTTACAGACTCCTCATGTATCAAAATCATTCCTTTTCTTCTTCTTCCCACCTTTCAAGCCGCCCCGTCCTTCTCTCGCATTAGCGTCCTGTCGTTTCTTCTCTCTCGACGGAAAATCTTAGAATAAACGTGGCCGAACCCTCGGAGCCTTGGCGTGCCCCTAAGCGCCCAAGAACCCAAGTTTCACCAAGCGCTCCTCACTAAAGGTCAAACTCCCAACAGCAGAGCAGGAAAATAGAGGGAAAATACAGATACAGTACGCGCTCATAACGGTAGACGTCGGCTAGCCGTTTCCAGCATGGGTCTTGCTCGGCCGCGTGTATCCTCGGGCGTCAAAGCAGAGGGGCCTTCTGGTCAGGTTGGTCTGCCGCCCGCGCGTCTAATTTTCTCTCAGCTCTCTCAGACGCCCATGTCCCTGGAGGTTAAGGTGAGAGAGAAGAAAGAGAGAGAGGGAGAGGTCATGGGGGAAGATACGAAACGTTTCAACCCAGCTAGCTTGAAACCAACGGCGGTGACGAGAATAGCATATAGAGTGTGTCAAAGCGTATCTTAATAAAACACACAGATCAAATACGTGATTCGAACACCCAACGAGGCGAAGCAGCATGTTGGTGCTCGTCTGGGTCGAGCACGAAGATTGAGAGCGTGAACTAGCAGCATGATCGATGCGTTCTTCTTCCGTCGTAATGATCCGTTGACCACAACAAGAGTTATGTCCTCGTCTGAGCCACCCAAGATAGCAATCATGGGCACGTATACGGCGTGTCATATGTGTTGAGAACTTCTAAGAGGCAAAGGGCCTCTAAGGGGTAAATTTTTACACACTCCCCAAAGGATTCACTAGTAGCTCTAGGCTATAAAGAGAAAAGAGTGAAAGCTGAACTTCTACAGTAAGAACGTGAAAGGATGTGGTTGAAAGGTAGTTTGACAGTCACCGTACTTTCTTTTCACTTGCTTTGAACAGGAGACTCGCGGATAGATAAGAATACATGTAGATACAACTTCTAGCAATCATCTTGACCGACCTTGAAAAGCATACGCGACTACTTTCCTTAGTACCTCTACTATTACGATTGGTAGATACGTTAAAACAATGTGTCCGGGACTAGAGCCCTCGTTCGTCTATGTACATAAAAAGGAATCAATGACAATGAATTCCCCAGTTCGACGTTATGAAACAGAACAGAAATACCAGTCCCGCCTTCCCATCAGATGCATGACTGCCCTTGTTTCCAGAGTATGTATCTATGCCTCTCTGGCTCTCTCGCCTTGGTGAGAACAGGAAGCGTGTAGGGTAGACAAAAGACGAGGAGAAGAGATGGAAAAGCAGGGGAGTAAACTACCCATGGCTCGTCTTCATCTTCGGTCGGCCAACTTCATTCTTTCTCCCGGATGTGAAAGGAGGGGGGGAGGAGAGGGTCCATGTGGGAAAAGTTGTTGAGAAGAGAAAAAAAAAATCCATTATCATTGCTGTCCGCCCTAGGAGCGTCCATTCCCGCGCCCGGCCTTCTCTTGCTCCTGGTAAAACGGCTCGAAGTAAGGATGGTTGACGGCCATCTTGGCCGAGATGCGACCGGCGGGGTCGTACACGAGCATCATCTCGAGGAGCTCGAGGCCCTTTTCGTCGAGGTTGTGGCAGAGGGTGGCATCCGGATCGCGGGACCACTTGGGGAAGGTCATCTTGTAGTCGGGGTAGGAGGTGACACCAGGCCAGGCGTCTTCGTCGGGAGTTCCGAGGACGCTGTTCGTCTGTCAGCTCTTTCTTCCTCTCTTTCTCTTCTTCCTCTTATGATGGGAAGGAAGAAAGGAGGAGTGAGAAAAAAGGGGTGAGAGTATATGTGACGATTAGCAAGAGGGGAGGCTGTAGATCATACCGGAAAATCTTGAAAATCTCGTCAATTTCTGAGTCGCCGGGAAACAGCGGCTTGCGGGTGCACATCTCGGCAAAGATGCAGCCGACAGACCACATGTCTACGCCGGTAGAGTACTGCCTGCCACCGAGCAGGATCTCGGGGGCGCGGTACCACAGCGTGACGACTTCGTGGGTGTAGGTGCGGAGGGGCACGCCGAAGGCGCGTGCGAGACCGAAGTCGGCAAGCTTGAGGTTCCCGTCGCGGTCGATGAGCAGGTTCTGGGGCTTGAGATCGCGGTGCAGGACGCGGTGCGAGTGGCAGTAGCGGATACCCAGACACAGCTGCATCATGAACTGGCGGACGACGGTGTCGGACATGCCCAGGGTGGCGACCGTCGACGAGGCGCCCTCGGGGAGGGCCTTGCCGCGCCCGCCGTCGGCGACGGGCAGAGCCTCCATGTACTTCTTGAGGTCGAGATCGAGGAACTCAAAGACCAGGTACAGCTTGTGGCCGTCGGCGTGGACGATGTTGAAGAGGCGCACAATATTTTCGTCCTTCATCTCCTTGAGGAGCGAGATCTCGCGGATGGCCGTGCTGGGCACACCCTCGTCCTCGGCCTCGAGTCGAATCTTCTTCAGTGCCACAATATTGCCGCCGTTTGATAGGTCGCGGGCTTTGTAGACGACTCCGTATGTGCCTGTTTTGTGTGGTTTGGTGTTGGTAAATAAACACACCCAAGTTATATATAAGTTTTTATTTTTTTACTTTTTTTTTAATAGCGATTAGTGTCAAAACAAGGGCTACCACATACCTTCGCCAACCTTTTCAAGCTTCTGATAGTTCTCCATGGCTGCTGTTGGTGTATTCTTGGTATTCGGTATATGGATGGGTGGATTCTGTAGAGGAGCAGATCGGACTGCTGATCTCTCTCTTTCTCCCTCTCTCCTAGGCACGGACCCCAACGTTCAGCTCCTTTTGTCGTATCGTTTCTAGGTTCTTCTTCTTTCCTTCACCCCTCTATCTCTCTAGTGGACAGACAGAAAATATGAGGGAAACGGGCCTGTTTCCTCCGATGAGAAAGAAAGAAACCAGCCAAGGGGGAGCAGGACCTGGTCGGGTTCGAAAACGAGGGGTAGGCGGTGTCCCTCGTACAGTCGTCTGTTCTGCCTGCAGGCCAGGTGTTCGAACTGGGCGGAACTGGGCGGGTGGGAGGGAGATGTGATTTCTGCGGAATCTGGATACGTCGATTGCTGGGAGATGGGTTAGTAGAAGTCGAGTTCGCTTGGAGCAGGATTTCCCTCTCAGTACTAGAGATGGGAGGGAAAAGAAGAAGAAAGAAAGAAAAAGGGCGAGTTTGTTGACAGACGTCGTCGCGGATACTGTTTGTGGGGTATTACCGCGTTCAGGACGCGGCGGGGCTCGGCCATTGTTCCTCCTTCTCCCTTGGCTGGCGTGATAAGATAAGCAAAGCAGCTTTTTTGTTTTGTTATTTGTTTATTTCCGTTTAGCTCCAGTACGGGAGGCGTTGGATAGTAGAATGAATTGGACACTCGTCTGTCTATGGTCATATATTCTTTGCTATACTATTTCGTTTCCGTCTCCTCAGCCTGCCCTGTGCATCTATTGAGATTGTGCTACCCTTCCGATCCGTCTAACTTGTTCCATGGAATCAGATACCCTAGTAGATCTTCCCCTCCTCACCAACCCAACCCACCCCCGGCCTGGGTAAGCGACGATGGACTCTCAGTGTCCCATTGAACGGATTAAAAGCAACGGGAAAGATCGGCATTGACTTTGAGGCTAGCATCGCTGGACTGGAGTTTGGCATGCATGTCCAGTCCAACGCTGGCAGCACGCTACACACTGCTTGTCATTTCTTCTACTGACGCTATATCGCTCGTATCCTTTGATGGAGCTGTGCGTTGTGTAGCATTGCGTCTAGTGGTAACCATAGTACTACTACTGTGCTGGGCTATGCCTACTTTCTCTTCCGTCGGTGAGGAAGCGTCATGACATTACGCACGTACGGGGACTGCCTTAGCCGTCGCCGTTTGATGTTATGTGCCACAAATAACGGATGTCACGCATGATTAGTATACAGTTTATTTTATTATTATTATCTCTATCTTTGTAAGAGACTCGTATACAGAATGATACTTACGTGATGGCGATCATCGGGTACCAATCGTCATATGTCTACGATCAATGCGTTGTCAAACTAGGGGGTTGTCGCAGAACGACGATGAATGCTGGCATAATTGCCACGACACAGCCCCGGAGGTCGAGCCAGCCAGGGGACCAAGGGCAAACGAAGGAGAAAGGAGAAACGAACTACGAACTGGGACGGAAAGAGGAGAAGGGGGGATGAATGGATGGTGCTATCTACCTTTCCAAACTTGTCGCGCAAGAGTAATGAATACTAGCGAATCAAGTCATGATGGAGGGTGTGACGCAGTAGAGAGGGGGGGGGGGGCCGCGGCGGTTGATATCAGGGTCCAAGGTTTCTTTCTTTGGGACTAGACAGTTATCACGAGGCGTACTGATGGCAAACCTGTTATTCGTTGATCATTCTAGTCAACTCGTCCTACTACTACTATTGAAAGCAACCCCGATGAATAGATAACAGACAACAGTTATATTTCAAAAAAAAAAAAATTAAAAATTAAAAAAATATGATGATTACTCACAGATGCATAGCACAATTGGGCTGATAGTGCTACAGGTTAAGTTGAATTCCTCGATGCTGGCAATTCTACCAGTTCTGCTAACAGTCAAAAGCCAGTGATCGAGTGACTTCACCTGACCCCGCCATTCCTCTCCTCACCCCTCCCACTCCCAGAGCCCACCCACCTCCACCACCCCAAGACCGACACAAGACGCTACTTCACTCCCCTTCATCTCGACCAAGGAAAAGAGCCACACCGACAAGAACTGGTTTTTTACCTTTCCAAACCAGCCAACTCCCCCGCCCCTCCTCGCGTCCTTCAAAAGCAGAGCAGCAACATATATATTCGCACGAAGCCCCACCGCCGAGCACCCTTCTCTCTCTCTCTCTCTCTCTCTCTCTCTCTCCCTGTGCTCGACATCCCTCCCCTTCCCCCTCGAACGTCCTCCTTATTGCCGCGTCAAGCGGAAAGAGACGGGACCGACCGATCAACTGAACGGAACCGGAGCCATCAAAGAATACCGACACAATGAATCCTCATCAGAAGAACAAGGTTGACGTCAAGGTGAGCCATAGTCCCCGTCGCCTTCTCTCCCCTTGCCTAAGCTCTGCTATCAGGAACGAGAAAAAAGAAGATAACTGACATCCTCTCCTGTCCACTTAGTCCCTCTCCCCCGAGGAGCAGCGTCTCTTCCGCCTGTACGGAAAGCTCCCCAACCGTTCCGATCACTTCGCCAAGCATCTCAAGGAGCGCAAGTACTTCGACTCAGGCGACTACGCCATGTCCAAGGCCGGCAAGGGCGACGGCGTCGACGCCGGCGCCGTCGGCTCCCAGCATCCCGTCCCCGAGAATATCCCCCACCTGTCGTCGCCTGTCAACAACAACAGCGGTGCCGTATCTACCTCGCCCAATGGCTCTGCCTCTTCTTCCCTCCCCGGGTCTGGTCCCACCGCACCAGGTGGTGTCATCCCCAAGCACGCCCATCATGGGTCCGTCCCGGGTATCCAGGCTGGCAGTCCCATAAAAGAGGGCAGCTTCCTCCAGCGTGAGACTAGCGTCGATGACCTGGACGAGGACGACAAGGGCGGCGATGACGCTTCTGGCCGTCTTGCTGCCGCCGAGGGTATCCCTATCCGCCGTTGACTGTGCGCTGCGGCGGTGTCGAAGGGTACATACTGCTACAAAATACTCATCGGACGTGTGTGTCACCTCTGCGAAAGAAGAGGGAAAGAATACATGAAGCAACTGGAAAAACACTCTTCCAAAAGACCATGAAGGATGCCCAGTGTTCCCCCCAAGGATTCGAGGCTCGAGGCCTGATCTCCGGCAGCCCGGCACTAGATGCACTCTCTGCCGTCATATCCTCTAAACACACACTCCTTCCATGAGTATACATGAACCAAAGAAAAGAAAAGGACAAAAAAACAACTGGGTAACACATATCTTTTTCAACCCCCCCCCCCCCACAATCATGCAGGCGTTTATCGGACCATCAATGTGGAAATTTTTCCTTTACCCCTCTCCTGGAGAGACTCTCTTCTCCCTTTTGTTGTTTACACTCAGTCAGCCACAATGCAGCTCTACTCTTTGCAGTTGGTTTTCTTCTTTTCATCTGTCTGTTCGTCCTCATACGAGGGATAAACAAAGGGCTGTCGATGTTTAGTTTTTTTTTTTTTGCTATAGTGAAGCATGGGCCTAGATGCTCCGCCTCCAGGAAGAAACTTGTCAAACGTAGCTGAGTTGAGAGCATCATTAACTTGTTTTGCTTCCGTGTACGACAACAGCATACCCGCCGGGGCTGACTGTCCCTTTGTCGCTCATCGGATATTACATGACATCATTCACGATTCTATTCGGCCGCAGATCTTGTGTACTAGTGTTGGTAGCGAAATCGAACGTGGCTTTTCTTCTTTCAAATTCCTTTTCATGAATCCCTAGTAATTTCCCTTTCCACCCCAAGACGCCCTATTCTGTTCGTAAAAAGAAAAGAAAAGAAAACAAGAAGAGAGAGAGAGAGAGAGAGAGAGATGTAGCCATGTGTGGAAGCGCAAACTCTTTCAATCCCGGAGAGCCTTCTCGGCCATGGCCTTCGCGCCGTCAAACGTCTTGTTCCCACCGATGAAGCCAGCAGCGTGGACGAAGACGCAGCCCTCGATGCCTGAGATGCCATCGAGCTCGGCATCACGGAAGCCCCTCCAGGCCTCGGGCAGGGGACGACGGCTGACGAAGGAGTCCTTGGTCTCGGGGACGCACTGGATGCGCCACTTGGCGCCGGGCGCAGGGCTCTCCGGGTACAGGACATAGAGGACTTTGGAGGTGGCGGCGACGGCGGCCTCGAGGGAGTGCAGGTGGTCCTTCCAAGGGACGCTGAGGCCGTCGAAGACGAGGACGCGGCCCTGGGGGTCGAACTCGGTGCGGCGGTCGAAGGCGCGCCGGACGACGGCGCGGGCGGGCAGCCAGGCCTTGGTGTAGTAGTCGACCTCGTGCTCGAACTCCTCGCCGATGCGGGCGGAGGCGGCGAGGAAGCGCTCGTCCTCGGCGGCCTGGGCGGCGGCGGGGTCCGACGGCCGCTCGTCGTTCCAGTTCGGGTTGAGCCTCCCGACCAGGGCGCCCAGGTTGAAGCCACCGTCGCTGAAGCGCTTGGTCAGCCCGGCGGCCGAGACGGCGCCGTCGTCGTACACCGAGATGCCGTTGTCGTGGGCGTCCAGGGCCTCGATGAAGCTCTCGTACAGCTTGCGGTGCAGGAGCTGGACGTCCTCGGCGCCGGGCGCGAAGCCCATCTTGCCGTCCTCGGGGGTGGGCAGGCCGAGGCGCTGGGCGATGATGGCCCGGCCAAAGTGCTTGAAGACCAGGCCGGCGCTCGACAGCTTGGTCGGGCGCCCGGGGAAGGTGGTGTCGAAGCCGCGCTGGTGGTGGTCGTACCGGTTGCGGGCGTCGTCGTACTCGCCGCCCACGTCTACCACGGTGTGGCACGTCTCGAGGACCTTGGGGTCGCGCGTGCGCACCAGAGACGCATCTCTGTACGCGGGGAGCATGCGGAGCATGTGCACCGCCAGGGCCTCGTCGGCGTGGAAGTGGCCGTTGTGGGTGCCAATCACGACCGGTGACGTCTTGACGCGCTTTGCTGCTGATTCGGCCATGGCTGTGAAGGAGCGACGGAGCATGAACCTGTTCCCTATCTTCTTCGTCTCCTTCGTCTTCTTCTCTCTTTTGATTTACCTTTTTTTTTTTTTAAAAAAAAAAGAGAGAGAGAAGAGGATAAGTAAGGCGTGGGGGGGGGATGGATGAAGAGGTGGAAATGTGGGAATGGCAAAGCTAGAAGGGATGGACGAAAGCTCTGAAAACCAGAAAGAGAAAAAAAAAGGAAAAAAAATAGGTGACAGCCAATCGAGACACGTCAATTACCACCCCGCCTTTGACGGTGTTGTAAAGGTCTCCAACACAAGAGGAACTATACAATTGCGATACCAATAATTGCTGCACCCTATTCTACGTTGTTATGTGAAGATGATTTATCACGTATCAACCGTTATTGGATTCCTCCTCGTCGCTGAGCCGAAATCTTCTGCTCCACCAGGAGACTTGGCAACAGTGATTTCGAAGGCATGACCCTGGGAATAAACTGATGAGCGTGATAGTCCGTTGACAGTATCATAGACGATGAGACTGACCGACATACGTGCACAGCTTTTACGGTCCCGTACACTGTTGCCGTGGTGGCGCACAGGTTGAGTTCACTGGTCGACTACGTGGATAAGGTGGTTGCTGTCCTTGACGGAAGGGTTGATTCCGTGGAGATGGGGCCGCCGAGCGAGTGGTTCAGAGAGTCGGTAACATCATTGAGAGGATTGAAAGGACTGTTCATTCGAAGGTGGATGTGTATATGCCCCAAGGCCCCAATATCCGAAATATCACAATGCTCTGACATTGCTCCCCGTCTCTCCATGATACTATTGTGTTACCGACGATTCATCTCACATCTGGCTAATCATCAATGTGCGATGGGCTTGATTTCTTGATCTGTTCTGGTTTGTACTGATCAGAGCAAAGAAGAGAGCAAAGAGAGCAACGGTGCTCGAGAGCACGTGAAGGGACAGAACAGTGTGACCTCGTCTATTTCAGTAAGACGCATCCTTGGGCAGCTCGCCCTCGACGGCCTGCCGTCCAACCTTTTCGAGGTCAACGGTGTCCTTGCTGGCGGGACCGCGGAGTCCCGACGCTGCACCGGTGTCGGTTCCAATGTTGCGCTCGGCCTCGGATCGTCCGCTGCCAACGTTGACGGTGTTGGCGTTGGCCGACTGCCAGTCCGACGGCTTGGGGGGCTGCTCGGGGAGGGGGAGGTTGGCCTTGACCTGGTCGATCTTTTCCTGCTTGGACTGAGTCACTGTGGGTGTGGTGACTGTCAGTTCTGTATTTTCACATCTTTGTAGAAAGATGAAAAGATAAAGATAAAAATTTGGAAGGGAGAGAGGTCAATATATCAACATACTGGTTGCCTTGTGTTGGGCGTTTGGTGTTTTTATTTTTATTTTCCAAGGTCTCTTCAAACTGATGCTGATGTGCTTGTTCTGTAAAGGAGACAGAAAGCAACGATTGTATGCGTGGTTGTCTAGGATTGAGCATGGGAAGATGGAGAAAATCAATCAACATGTTTCTCCTTGGAGTGCTTTGCTTCCCTTAGATATATTTCCTCGAGCACCGAACCGTTCACCGAAAGATGTCATAGCAACTTGATAGTTTGCAGTCCTTTACGTCACTGACGTCAATCATTGTCAATCCCCCACCAACTTCACGCTGCGTTCGTGCCAGGCTTCTTCATTCAGCCTTCTACTTCACCCGCGAGCGTATCGAGATATGGGGGACGAATTCCAGTTCCTTCTTTGCTTCTTTCGTCACGATTCAAACCATCCCGATCAGACTGGAGAAAAAGTGGTCCCTGATCTTTCCACTTCTTCTCAAATCACTTTTTTTCTTTTTCTTCTTCTTTTCTTGTAAACCCCAACGCCAAAGGAGCAGGTCTGGTATCTCATGACTTCTCGATGTCATCTTATCATCTATACATCGCCCCCTCCTCAACGTAGAGCCCAAAACAAATGCATAGGGAAGGGAACGTCCTAGCGAACAAAGAAAGATTGACCAGCGAAAAGAGAGGAGGAGAAGAATACGACAGGATGCATACATACACACGCACGCATCCAAGATGAAAAATCACCCGGTCCTCCTATCCGTCTCTGCCGACGTAGCCTTGTCACCACCATCCGGGTTGAGGTAGTCTGCGTCTTCGGCAGCCTCATACTCCCCAATAAGATCCGTCACGACGGCTCTGGCCTCGTCGAACTCTGCCAGACTCTCGGAGAAGGGACTCGTCTTCTTGTACGCTTCCATGAAGGCGTTGCGCTTACGCATACCGTCATATTGCTTAACGATACGCTTGAACAGCTAAAGCGAGACAGGCTGTCAGTTTCCGTACTTGGGCAAATCTCAATATATATAGTAGGTAAGAGAGGAAGGAAAGACGGGTAGATGTTACCGTGGCGATGCTAGTGTGGTTGGCCAGCATGAGACCGCTGACGCGGTGGCTCATGGGGATGTACGGGCTCCTCTTCGTGAGGGCGACCTGGATGCTGGCGGGGCCCCAGGGGATGAAGGTGGCGAGGCGCCTCTCGCGGATGCGCAGCAGGCTCTTGTGAACGTCGGTGGGGTCGACCTCGCCCTGGATGACGTTGAGGATTGAGATGTAGCAGCTCTTCTTGCCCGGGACGGTGGAGACCATGCGGTTCTTTGGCTGGAGCAGCCGCCGCATCACGTCGAGGACGGTCGTCTTGCGCACCGTCTTGGCCTGCTCGACCTGATCCCCCGTGAAGGGCGTGTAGGCCGTCATGAGGAAGTGGCAGCGCGGGGTGGGGATCAGCGAGGCCAGGATGCTGACCAGGTCGTTGTGCATGTAGCCCGGGTAGCGGAGCGTCGTGGTGCTGGCCGACATGACCGTGGCCACGAGCTGGTTCGTCTGCTGGAACGACGGCTCCTGCACGTGCAGCCTGTCGGCCGCGATGTGCGACAGCGCACCGTTGTCCAGCACCACGACCGAGTCGGCGTTCTGCGTCAGCCGCCGCAGCGACAGGATGCTGTTATACGGGTGCACCACCACATCCCCCGAGTTGGTCGTATCCGGGAAGACCGAGTACGTCTGGATGATCTTTTTTGGGAACCGGTCGTTCAGCCTCTCCAGCATGAACGACCCCAGACCGGATCCTGTGCCGCCCGCAATCGAGTGTAGCATCATGAAGCCCTGCCGCGCCGCCGAAACTCCTTCGTCAGCAACAGCAGAAAGCAAAAAAAAAAAAAAAAAATCAAAAGAACTTACCTCTAGCGAATCACTCCCGTCAGCCTCGCGGTCGATTATCTCCATAATGTCCTCACACAGCGCCTCGCCAGTCTGGTACCCATCACCCCAGTTGTTTGCCGCCCCTCGTCCGTCCTTGCTGACGTAGAAGTTTTCCGGGTTGTAAATATTCTTGTACGGGCCGCTCTGAATACCGTTGATGACCTATGCATAGGACCACGTTAGCATCCCACTTTTCTCTTCCCCTTCACCTTCTTCATCTTCTCCCCCTCCCCGACAAGAGAAACAAAAGGGAAAAGAGGAGAGAACCTTACCCTCGGCTCGAGATCTATCAGAATCGCGCGCGGGATATACCGCGTATCATCGCTCTGGTAATAAAACACATCCTTCCTGTCACCTCCTTCTGTTGCAAACTCCTCGAGGTTACCATCCTGGTTGATCCCGTGTTCTTGGCATAGCTGTTGCCAAAACTGGCTGCCGACTATTCCAAGTCAGTCTTTTCGTGCGCCCTTCCTTCCTCACATGCGTGGCCTTTCCCCCTCCTCCCCTAGGGTCGAGGAGAACACTTACTGCTGTTACCGCACTGTCCGGCCTGGATGGTAATGATCTCCCTGGGTAGAGGGACGGTTAGTCGCCCAACTTGGTTCCATCGCGCTCGCCCCCGCGTGTGTGCGCATGTCTTCTCACCTTGGCATCTCGGGCTACCAGAGAGGAGGGGGGGAGGGGGAGGGGTTGTAGTTGCAGGAAAGGTAGTATTGAGGTCGATTGAGGTCGATTGGAGTTTTGTCTATATGTTCTTCTTCACCTAGAGTACCGGAGGCTTCGAATCGCGTCGTTTCTTGCACGGTGTTCGGTCATCTGCTGTTCTGATGCTGTGATGGGAGAGGGGAAGAATGATGACCCGGGGGGGGGGGGCCTGGGCGGTCAGGCGCGACGCGTTTTACGTGCGTCGTCGTGCGCTGTACGTGGGTAGTTTTAACCAGTTTCACCCCGCCCCCGCGTTCTAGGTCTATATTACATCACACCATACATTCGTCGCAATAAAGTGAACAAGGAATTAAGGATTTAATAGAAGAGACATGCACAATTCGCATCAAGCTAATCAAGATTGAACAGAAGTGTAAAATACAAGAAGGCCCCTTTTTATTTTTTGGTTCAGACTAGCATGATTGTACTCCGAAGAAAACGCACTTATCGAGAAAACAAGATGATAGAGGTAAAGAATAAGAAGAAAAGGGAATATAGACGGATGGTAAATAGTAAAAAGTAACCTCATGCCCTTATAACGCCGGCAATGCTTGAAAATAAAAATAAAAAGGACAGAGAGTAAAAGCCAACAGCAAAAGAAAGCTGCCTTACCTATAAAAAAAAAAGAGAAACCATACATAGCCTCTTGTTCTTTTTTTGTTCGTCCCTCGTCTAAATGATCAACATGATTTTTCCCCTCCCTTCATCAATACGATTAACAGTATAATACCACATTGCTTTTTTTTTTTTGCACCCTTCTCAACCACATTCCGTTGAGCTCGCAAAATGTTCCCTTCATTAATCTTTCTTGTTGGCAGACTTGTGTTCCTCCATCGAGTCAGCCAAGGCTTTGGCAAACTCCTTGGTTTTGACCTGCACCATCCAGGTCTCCATGCCGTCTCCCGTCTCGTTGGCCGTGGCCACCTTGACATACTTCTCATCCGCCTTGTATACCAGGTCCGGTATGAGGGCGCGGTTGATGGCCACGTTTCCCCTGGGCTCCGCGCGCATCAGCAGACGCACCATCTTGGTCTCCTTGTTCTGGAGGATGCGTAGCGCCCCGACACCCTGAGTCGACCACGGGCTCTTGGACTTGGGCTTGTCCGCGTCGTCGTCGGAAGCCGGCTTGAACTTCAGCACCTTGGCCCGCACTTCGTGCAGCACGTCCTCGCCCTCCTCCTCCTTGTCTGCCAGGTTGATCTGCTCGTGCTTCTCCCCCTCCTCTTCTTCGCCCCCCTTAGCTGTCGTCGTCGTTGCCGTCGCCGCCGCGGCAGTTGATGGAGGCTCCGGGGACCCATGGGCAGGTGTCGTGGCCAGGCTAGAGCTGCCTCCGAGGATGGATGGAGTGTCTAGACCCGTCGCTTTAGCGGCAGAATCTTGCGTCCGGGAAAAGGTGACTTACTGGACCCGGTCGATGGCCCACCCATCGGAGGTTGGAGGTTGAAAACCGGTGCCGCGTTCTGGGTTGTCTGGGATGGCGCACCGCCGAAGCTGAAGGTGGGGGTCGCCGATCCGGCTGCGGGAGTGGCGCCGGCACCGCCGAAGAGACCGGCACCGTTCGCGCTGGGCTGGCTCGCGCCGCCGAAGAGGTTGCCGGTGGGTGTAGAGTTTCCTACGTTGTTGGATCCAAACTGGAACGTTCCTCCGGGCTGGCTTGCAGGAGCACTGCCGAAGCTAAACATGCCTTCGGAGCCGGATCCAGACGCGTCCGTGGGCTTGTTGTCGCCGGAGGCAAACGGGTTGCTGAACGAGCTTCCTGCAGAGCCGCCGCCGTTGCTACCGCCGGCACTGCCAAAGCTGAAGTTGAAGCTGCTGGCTGCCGGGGCCGGAGTGTTTGCACCGGCCGTGAGACCCCCGAAGATGCTGCCGGCGCCACCTGTCCCGTTGCTGGACGGGGGCTTGGGAACGGAAGCACCAAAGAGGTTGCTCGTCGGCGGGTTCAGGGCCGGGGTGGTGCTGGCACCAAACGAGAAGGACGGGGTTGCCGAGGGAGCATTGTTGCCGTTGCTGCTGGCAGCGCCAAACAGAGACTTGGCTGCTTGCGGCTTGTCATCCTGTTTCATGGGACTTCCGTCAAACATGGAGCCGCCGGCCGCAGGCGCGCTGTTGGAAGGAGGTGACAAGGGCTGCTGCTGACCAAACAGCGAAGGCTTAGGGGCCGACTGGGTATCGGGCTTGGCAGGTGCACCCTGGCTGGCGGCGCCGTTGGTACCAAAGAGGGAGCTGGCCGGAGAAGGCGTCGACGCGCTGTTGTTGCCAAACAGGGTGCTGGCGGCCGGCTTGGCGCCGAACAGCGAGCTGGCAGAGCCTGTCCCGTTGGTCGTAGCTTGGGCACCGAAGAGGGACATAGCCGGCGGCTTGGAGGGCTCAGCCGATGCCGTCTTCTCGCTTTCGGAGGGCTTCGCTCCGAACAGGGTTGACGACTGCATGGGGTTCGGCGTAGCGGCCGTGGAGGATTCGGCTGGCTTACCAAACAGGCTAGGGGTCGCGGATGTAGCCGGCTTCGACGCTTCAGTGGTCGGCTTCGTCAGGCCGAAGAGAGACGAGCTACCAAACGCTGGTGCGGGCTTGGCAGGCAGGGGCGCTTCGTTGGGACCTTGGGAATCGTTCTCCTTGTCGGATTCACTTCCGTCCTTATCAGCAGCCGTACCAGTCTTGCCGTTGGCCTCCGTCTCGGCGGGCTTGTCGCCCTTGGGGGCCGCAGCACCGAAGAGGTTCGAGGCCGAGGTCGCTGCAGGGGTGGAGCTCTGGCCGAACAGCGATCCTGCGCCGGGCGCGGCAGCAGCACCGACGCTGGTGCCGTTGCCAAACAAGGAGCTGGTGGCAGAGGGAGCCGCAGGCGGGGCAAACTTGATGGGCGTCGTACTGGGGTTCCAAGTCTGGTCCTTCGGGGGGGCAGCAGCGGGTGTCTCAGATGGCGCGGCATCGCTAGGTTTAGACACGCGGTCAAAGAGGCTGCGGCCCGACATGCTGTCGCCAGGGGTAGACGCCTCGACAGCGCTGCCGGGGGCTGCCTTCTTGGCCGGCGGCTCATTGTTCTCCTCGTCAGAGTCATGGTCCGCAGCAGAGCCAGTCTTACCAGAGAGGTGACCAAAGATGTTGCCGGCGCCGCTACTGGCCGTACCCGGGGCAGCAGCCTGGGCAGAATCCGTCTTGGCGTTGTTCTTGAGGACAGACTGGAAGAGCGAGTCACTGCTGGTAGGCTTGCCGCCGGTGAAGAGGCTGCCAGAGGCTTTGGACGGCGAAGCAGTGGGCGTGGTGGAGGCCTTGTTGGCGGCCTTCTCGAACAGGGACCTCGCGCTGGAGGGCTGCTTCTGGATCTTGTTAGGCTGGGAGTCGGCACCTTCGTCCTCAGACTGCCACCTCTTGTTCTTGCCGAGGACGGGGGTTGGGGCGGGCGCAGGGAAGGCGGGAGCCGAAGCGGAAGCGGGAATAGGGGTGGAAGCGGGAGCGGGGACATGGGGCTCATCGGCCACATCGTCCCTCTCCGTCGCACGACGCTTGCCCTGTCCGGCAGCAGCGGACTGGAGCTCCTGGCCACCGTCATCGGCAGCCTTGCGCTTCTTCTTGGTTGAGGTGGTCTTGGCCGCGGGGGTGGCGGAGGCTTCGGGCTCGTCGTCGTCGAGGGGCGGGAGGCCGTGCTCGCGGCGCCATCGCTTGATGAGCTCCTTGGACGGCTTGACGTTCTGGAACTCATAGAGGCCGTAGTGCAGGAGGATGATGCTCCTGCTCTTCTCAAACTCCTTGGCAAAGTTGATGACGTTGAGCTTCCAGCTCTTGCTGCAGAAAATCTCGTCGGCGGCGTACTTTAGTCGGCGGAGGTCGAGGATGCAGAAGAACTGGCGGCGCTGCTCGTCGTCGAGGTCCGGGGGGCACAGATGGCCGAGGAACTGGTCGGCGTAGATGGATCCCTTGGGGTCCCACTCCTTGGGCACCTTCTTGGCCAAGACCTCGCCCGTCAGCTCGCGCGGCGGCGACGGGATGCGCATGTGGAAGAGGTCCTTCTCCTTTTCCCTGGCGGCGACGCCACGGGGGGTGGCCTGTGCGATGGACTCGCGCTGGACACGCGTGGGCTCCAGGGTCGCGCCGGGCGCAAACACTCTCTTGATGGAGGTCTGGGGGAGGCTGGGGGAGAAGGAGTTGACGGTCGGGCTGTCGGTGACCGTGGACGCTCGGAAAATATTGCTGGAGCTGCCCAAGCTGCGACCCAGGCTGCTAGCGGGGACATCGTCACGCGTCGTCAGGGTCTTTCGCGAAGAGGCGCCCTGGGACGCGCCCAGGCGCCTGGGCGCCGTGTGGTAAGGGGACGAGGGATAGGCGCGCTTGGCAAAGGGCAGCGGAGGACGCGAGCGAGGAGTAGTCGTCTCGGCAACATCGTCGCCAGGGATGGAAAAGGTGACCATTTCGGATGATGGAACGCGTCGGATATACTAGAACAAGATAAAGATGGGAAAGAAAGATATACTGCGCGCGTGCAGGCAGGTACCCAGTCACGGGCCCGTTGTCTGTTTTCTTCCTTTATCGAATAAGAGGGGGGAACGAGAGAGAGGAGATCCGTTTCTGTGATAGCCAGCCACTTTCTAGAGATGATTTGAGTTTGAAGTGAGACGTGATTTTTTTTTTTTTGCTAGCGTTTCGATCAGCCACGGGGCGAGGATAGCTGCATCGCCCTTTTGCGACTAGGAGCAAGGGCTGAAAAGAGATAAAAGAAAGGGAGGGGAGAAAATTATTTGCAAGAGTTTTTTTGCGGGAAAGAACAAGGAGAGACTATTAAATTTTTAAACGGCCCCAAGGGTGGTTGTTGATCGTATAGGTGTGGGTTGATGAAGCCGGCCAAGCGTTGCGTGGGAGGGAGAAATTGAAGGCAACGGAAAGAGAGGGAGGGAGGGAAAAAAGAGAGGAGGGAAGAGGTGGGAAAAAAAAAGAAAAAAAAAAGTTGGCTGAATGGTCTCAGGTGGGAAAGGAAACGGAAGGGAAGGGACCTAGTAGTATTACTGGGTATTACTAGGTATTACTAGGTATTGCTCCGTACAGACTACATTACTGTACATATTAATATATTAACATGATAATATAATACGGTTAGTTCGGCCCCCTGCTCTTCTCCTATGGCTCTGTATCCGCTGAGTCCTGGGCCTTCCACTCAGGGCTCCCAGTTGCGCATTAATACCCCGTACAGCGCACCCGTACGCCATACAAGTACAGGTGGAAGGTAATACGGTACGTACCCGTTCAGTGACTTTTTTCCCCCACCGGCCCGTGATTTCTTCCGTCTCTTCATCCTGACCTTGGGTAGTATCTCGTGACCTTGTCCAGATTGGGTGACCACTATTACATCATTGTGCCATTATCAGTATAATACTACTCCTCCGTACTCCGTACTCTCTACAGATTACAAGTAGTAATAATGGTATTATGTGCCGTATGATTCTACTGTCGCAGCATCACTACGAGTGTTATACCGTTTCTTTTCCCCTCGCCCTTCTCCGTGCCCATCGAGTGATATCACGCAACTTGTTACTCGCACAGAACTTAGAGATACTCGGCATATTCACGGTCAAGTGTTCGGCATAGGATAAGCGGTACAACATGACCTTTGTATGCATCAAAGTTCTCGAGCCTGCAACGCCCATTCGCCACATCACCAAATATGGTCTAGTCAACTGCGGGCACTCTGCAACCGGAAGCTGTTCGGCACACGTAACATGCACCATCAGCACGAATAGCAGAGGGTAGCATGAAGTCTTCGGAAAGGTCAAAAGGCACAGAAAAAATAAAAGCTCCATTCGTGCAGAAAATAACGAGTGTTCCCTGGTTTCCCTTACAAATTTCCTAATTGCTGTCCCATGTATCCGTCCTGTAGTGCGTGTGCATGTTTGCTAAATCAAATGCCAGTTATTTGTTATTCAGGCATTATTAGGACATGTGCGTAACCACCCCAAGACACCTAAGAAATGAAGAAAGAAGCGCGAAGAGAAGACAAGAACAAAGTAAAGAAATGACAAGTACCAGAAAAGAGCCGCACTGTTTTTTTTCTTCCTATTTTTGTTGCGTTTTCCCTTTTTTTTTTTCGTTGGTTTTTTTTCGTTGTTGTGTAATTAGTTTTGACAAGTCTTTTCACCACAAAGAGATGTTGACGTCGTGCCTAGAAGCGCATGTTCTTACGCTGCTCCTCGAGGAACTCCTCGTCTGAGGCATCGAGGATATCGTACTCCTCATCGGTGAGGAAGTCGCCATCCGACACATCCCACTCGTAGTCCTGGCTGGAAGACCCGGAGCCGTCGCCCGCAGTCGACTTAGCTTCGGACTCTTCGGCTGTCTTGTTGTCCTCCTCGTGAACACTAGCCATGGGAGACTCTGTCTCGAGCTTGGGGAAGATCATGCGGCTCGAAGCCAGCTCAGGCTCCTCCTCCTTCACCTCCTGAGTCTCCGCCTTCTTCTCCTCTACCGCGGGGGAGGGCATCTTGGGCGAGGAAGGTCCACCAACTGATCGGACATTGACGTCACACCAGAGGCGGTCGCCGAATTTGGTACCGTCCGGCGTCGTGGCGCGCCAGTAGGAGACAGCCTTTCCAGGACGCGGCGGGGCGCGGAGCCTCACGGTGAACGAGAACTGCTCTCCGGGCTGGATCTTGACATTGCACGTATTGGACTCGGACGCCTCGAGCAGCTCGGCGGTACGGGCCGGGCGGCTGGAGTCGACATGGCCCATATAGTCACCACCGACAAACCTGACCGAGCACCCGGCAGGCCAGGCCGTCTCGCCAGTGTTGCGGAGCTCCCAGGTCTGCAGGAACTCTTGCTTGATGGGTATAATGGTGCCGTCGGGCACCGAGTCGCGCACAAAGGAAGCGAGAAGACCGTCTGTACCGACAACGGGGGCCTCCGCAGCGGCCGGCTTCGCGGTCTCCTTCTGCGGCTCTTCCTTCTCGATCTTGGCCTCCTGCTTCTCCGTCAGAGAGCTGACGGAGGGCTGCGGCTTGGTGTCGACCACGGTCTGAGGTCTGTTGAACGAGAGGGCGTTGGCCGACATGGCCGGGCAGCTTGGACGGTCACCCATGGGCGGCATCGCCTGGCCGTCGGCCTCCTCGCCATAAGTAGTCACGCTGATCTGGCGGATAGGCGTGCGGATCTTGATCAGAGGGTGGCTTTCGTTGTGGTCGTTGGACGGGTGAGCCTCGCAAGCAGCGCAGAGGTCGAAATCGGGGCAGACGGCACACTTGTACCGCACACCCTGGATGTAGGCAGGGTAAGATGAGGTGGACTGAGAGCACAGAAGGCCATCACACATAACGCCCACGTGGACGCTGTTGTTCTTCGCGCGAGAGGGGCTGACGGGCTCGTAGATGGGGACGAAGCGGTGGCCGGGGTGGATACTTTCGGACCTGGATGCGCACTCCTCGCAGTGGTCCCAGTCGGGGCAGTCTAGGCACTTGTGGCGGATGCCGGTTATGAACTTGTCGCACTGGTCGCAGATGGCGTGGTGCAGACGGTTGCGGCCGGGAGCCAGCTTGGAGGTGATGTGGACGGCATTGACGGAGCCGGGCACCAGCGGGTAGAAGGCGTGCTTGGGGTGGTGTCCTTCGACTTCCTTGGGGAAGCAGTTGACGCAGAGGTCAAAGTCCTCGCAGACGTCGCAGTGGAGGAACTTGGACTCGGCGAGTTCTTGGACGCAGCCGTTGCAAGTACGGGACCGGGCCTTATCGGCCACGGACTCCCGTGGCATGATGGGCAACCGGGAGTAAAGTTCGTCGGGCTGGGACATGGAGAAGAAGGGCATGGGGGCGGACCTATTCTCAAATGCTTGCAGACGGAGCCTGAGGTCGGCCAGCTTATCCACCTCGGTGGGCTCGGAGGCTTCGGCCTCGGCCTTGAACTTGGGGCAAACCCTCTCGGTGGTGCTGGTGACGATCTGGCCGTCGACCTTGTTCCTCTTAATCAGCCAGTGCTGGCTGTCAGAGCAGGAGCGGCCTTTGTCGACGCAGGCCTGGCACAGGTCGAAGTCGCCGTCCTCGCAGGTGGAGCAGTGGTAGTGGACATCGGTCGTGGTCATCCGGCAGAGGTTGCAGCAGATGGCGAAGTTGGCAGAAGGCTCATCTGCGGAAGCAGCGACAGCGTCTGCAGCGACGGCGGTGGTTGTGACGGCGGGGGCTGGGGCCGGGGCCGGGGCCGGGGCCCTAGTGTCGGGGGTTTCAGTGTCCAAGCTAGGGTCGCCCATGTTGGCAAGGCGAGCGTGGAGCTCCTCCCTGAGATTGGACGCCTCGGCAATCCTGGCAGCTTCGGCGAGAACAGATGACTCATAGGTCTTTGACACGAGGGAAGCCCTACGGGCGGGGAGATCCCTGTGGAAAGGGGGGGTCTGGGTGACCTGGGAGGGCGTGGCGTTTTCGTCGCTCGAGGTGGTCATGGCCTCCTCGGGCTGGGCTTGGGGCTGGGGTGAGGGGGGCTGCTTCTCACCAGAATCAGAAGACTCCTGGAGATGCTCTTCGTTGAGAGGAATCGAAGCGGAAGACTCGTTCTCGTCAGGGTTGAGAGTCACACGCAGTTTAAGCTTGGACTTGGCCTTGGCCGCCCTGTATAGCTGTTTATATACGGATGTGTTTTTGGGGTCGAGGATGATGTAGGTACCAGCCGAGTCAGAGTATCTCTCGATGGTGACGGCAGAGTTATCGGGGATCACGAGGAAGGCTCGCAGCTAGGAAGAGGATATCAATCAGTATGATGCTAGTCGCACGACTATGACGAAATCCGATTGCCATGGCACATTGCAGGCGGTAAAGACTAAGGAGAAACGTACCTGCTCCTCAAGAACGCCAACGCAAGTATCACGCAGAGGCATCTTGGCCCTCCTGGTAGTCCCACCATAAATCACCTTGACCATGATGAGGGAGTCAAGGGACATATGGTTATTGTTAAACGCCATGGTGACCGTGACTCTGCGAGACGGCGGGTCAAAAAGCGGGTTTCAACAATTACAATAGAGTAGGGGGGGAGGGGAGGGGGGAGTTTCGAACGTAAAAAAAAAGAGGTTTGTTATTCCAGCCCCCAAGCTGGAAGGGAGTATGTTGGGGAAAAGGAAAACACTACCTATGCGTAGCAAAAAGAAAAAGAAAAGGTTGGAAAAAGATGTGCAGTTGGGATGGTGATGTGGATGGATGGATGAGTTTTGGGGGAGAAGGAACACAGATGAAGGACACATGAGGGTTGGGGGGGGGGGGGGGGGGGGGGAAGATGAAGGAAAGAGTGAAGGGTCTCTAATCTCACAGCGGCGGTGACGGAATGACGAGCGGAGGAGAATGGGTCAGCTTTCCAAGTGTGGAGATAAAAGGGACGGGACTGGCAGGTGGCCTAAGGCAGCCTTTGACAGGGCCGCGCGCACTGGGGGGTGGCCTAGGCTGGATGGAGCCTGGGAAGACGAAGACGTACACCAAGGTTTTGTTTCTTTCACTCTGGTAGTCCGATTAAATGAGGCGAGTGGCGTGTGCGATGATGATTGGAGCAGATTTGAAGAGGCAAGAGATCAGATATTGAAATTAAATTTTATAAATCCAACAAGAAGATGATGGAAGGTTGAGGAGGATGTGTCGAGTGTTTCGCCTCACTACGAGTACGAGTGGCTTCGGTCACGACTCACAGGCTGGGGGTGGGCGGCCTTGGCCTGAGGTGGGTCCCATCTTTACCTACTCCGTCGCACTACTGGTACTTTTATTGGTATTATATATCCGGTATTAGCGGTATATGTACAGATCACTGTGTTATGTACTAGTTTATGTACGATTCATAGTAATATCATCAGTGGATTAATACTGGTATGGTAGGCTGTAGCTCCAAGATATCAGAGTGGTTCTGCTCTTAGTGCTATATCACAGCAGTACATATATTACGGCGTAATACTATTACTCCTCATGCGGGTGTAGTTACCGAGTCAAGGCTAACAAGGAGTAATAGAAGGCCGATCACGTCAGACTTTCAGCAAACTCGGAGTAGTTGCTTTAATCCCATCGCCGGATATGGTCAATCAATATCCATTGCTCACCGTCACTTCCCACACTTTCTCTCCAATTATTACCTGTAGAGATGTATAATAATGGCCTATAAATAATACCTGTACGAGTACTCGTACTCCCTCCCCTCCCCCTCCCCCTTCCCCCCCTCCCCCCATCTATAATACATACATACGACACCTCTCTTCTGCCTGCCCTGTCCTGCCTTTCCGGTGAGATGAGGGGAAAGTCGGATCCGTTCGTCACTTGGCCGTCGCCACCAGGACAAGTTCAATATTACTCCCGTGACAAAAAAAAAAGAAAAGAAAAGAAAAGAAAGAAAGAAAGAAATCAATGCACTTTTTCTTGTCACCAACCACAAAAGAATACTCGTACAGTCATGTGGGCACCCTGTCCTGCCTTGTCCTGCCTGGGCTCACTCTCAACCCCCCTCACACCTCGTTATCACCAAGGCCGCGCAGTGTGACATCCGAAACCTGTTGCTACGCTCTCACAGAGCTTATATCTTTACTATCAGTACCACCACTCGTACATTGTAGACCCTCGTCGTGGAAGAACAGCATATGATGGGCGCCGCCCTCACCTCGCCGACTCTGTATCACGCACACGCCTCATGCTCACTACCTCTTATGGGGTGAGTACCAGTAGTATGGAAAGTCCCGTCTCGATCACAGGCTGAAGAATACGAGGAGAAAATACTAGAATATATCCCCCGACCCCCGGGTCCTCGTACTCGCAAAGATAACGTTGACTTTCCCGGTGGCGGCAACTTCTTACACATCTCCCTGCTAGCCAGAGCTCAGCTCTCAACATCGTACTACGTCTAACGGAATTTTTCCTGCCTTGCCTCCTCAAACGGCTCGTTCACATGTGCAAGGCGTTACGACCAACGCAATCAACTGTCAAATGCCTCAAACATGTCATCACGGCCTTCACCAAAATCAAAACTCTGCAACATACGGGAGAGAGAAAAGGGAAACATCATACTCCGCTCCATTGCGCCTTGCCCAATACTACTGCTATCAAAAAAAAATATAAAGGAAAATATGAAGAAAGCATGCTCCTAATGTAAAAATAAATAAACAGAAGAGAGAGAATACCCTTTCGACGCCACTGCCATGGACAAAACAGCTCCATAACAAAAACTTACAACCAGAATAGTGAAAAGGAGGACTAAAAAAGATAGTAGGGGTGGAAAGTAAAAGAGAGAAGAAGAGACAGATAAAGAAACAGAAAAAAGAACATGCGGTTTTGGAAACAGACAGTGTTGGAAAGCAGCTTTCCAGATGATCCAAACAACATCTCGCTGCCAACCCCGCCAATATTATGACAAGCAAGAAGAAAAACAGACGATAAGCAAACAACAACAGAGAAACGAAGAAAGAGAAGAATAGAAAGAAGAAAACCGATGTTCGCTCTTTCCTTTTTTTTTCGTGACCAGATAATATATATATAATATATAACCGCTTCGAGCAGGGGGTGACAAACCAAAAACAGAAGCCATTTTCCAAGAACTCCTCCCTTTTTGTATGTTTCCAACAGTTCGTGGGCTTGATTTTGGTTTTGGTTTTGGTTTTGGTTTTGGTTTTGGTTTTGGGGGGGGGGGGGGGGGGGGGGGGGGGGGGGATCGCTGTGATTAAGAAGAGATAGAAGAGAGAGAGTTACTAGACAATGCCAGAAACTTTGGAGTCGGGGAGAGGAGCACCACTTGTCGAGACCAAGGCAAACAGCCGGTAAAGCAACGGTAATTCTCATCAGGTTACTGTGGATAGTAGACCATTCCTGGAACGCCCCCCTGTGCGTAGTAGTACCCGTCTGGGCTGGGCGTCACCATGCCTCCCATTCCCATAACCCCGGGTTGCTGGGGGTAGCCCTGCGGGGGAGGGTAAGGCTGGTACGAATTCACCGGCGGCAGCTGCGCTGGGTCGTAGTAGTACACCATGCCATTCACCTCCTGGGCTACCAGGTTGCTACCGCTGCTGCCGCCTGCCCCGGACGGACCCTGGGGCTGGCCGACTTGCTGCTGAGCACCGTGTGCTCCGGGCGGGACAAACGTAGGCGCAGGGCCTGCAGGTGGCACGCCCGGAGTGGAGTATCCGGCGGCACCGGGAGGGGGGTAGTAGTAGCCCGCAGGGGCCTGGGGTTGCGGCTGCGGTTGGGGCTGATGGTATCCAGGACCGTAGTAAGGCTGAGGCTGCTGAGGCTGCCCGAAGGCGTGGGGCTGGAAAGGTGCAGCGTGGATGGCGCGCTCGGGGATGTGGGACAACGGCGTCCCCGACGATGGCTGCGACAGGTGTGACGGATTCCTAGCGTGGACGGGGTTCTTATAGCCGTTGGCCACCGGCGCCGGCACTTGCTGATGGAAGGCCTGCTGGAACTGCGGTGGGCCCTGCGCCATAGCAGGGGACTCTATATCTGCAACGGAGATGTTCTTCTGAGGGCGCGGCTGGTGCATGGGGAGGTCGCCGGAACGGTTCTCGCGGAAGTGAGGCTTCTGGTGCATAGGCTGGGGTTGGGGCTGGAACTGATAGTCGTGGGGACCAGCGGAGAACCCCGGAACATCTTGGCCGGGATACTGGTCAGGCATCATGACAGCGCCAGGTCCTATCGACTCCGGACCGACGGATGGCGGCAGACGAACGACAGGCCTGGGGTGGTCAGGCGGGGCCGCCGACCGCGACATGACGGAATCGGTTGGCGAGAACATCATGTCCCGCTCGTGGGCAATCGACGATCTCCTGCTCACGCCAACGCTGGGCGAGTACATGCTCCCGTAGAAGCTACCACCAAAGACGCTGGTCCTGCGTGACATGCCGCCGACGGAACCGAGTCCTGAACGGGGCTTGCCACGGGTGCGTTGCTGGTTGGGGCGCATGGCACGTGGGATGAAGATGAAGGATCGGTCTATCGCCGGGTAGATGTAGCGGGGAGGTCTGTCGGGAAGGGAGATGCGGACGGGCTTGTCACGACGAAGAGGGGGGCGGTGGTCGGGGAGCTTGGTGTACTGCTTGACCGGGACTCCCATCTTGACGATGGCGGCCTTCATGTGCGGCAGGAAGACGCGGACCTGCACATTGGCAATGTGCTTCTCAGCCGAGAGGCTGCGGTTGATGGGGGAGGGGTTCGGCTCGCGAGTCGGGATGAAGCCGGTACCGTTGGGTGGCCCTTCGCTCGTAGGACCCTGACGAGACCGTCGGGCAGAAGGTCCAGCGACGGCCTCGTGCATGTCATGAGTCCAGGGAACACTGGTTGTAGGGTCACCGGGGCGATGCATCTGGTTCATGGGAGGTATGTGCCCTCCACCAAAGCCGCCACCGCCACCGCCACGCCCACCTCGTCCACGGCCTCTGCCAAATGGTCGGAAGCCATTAGCCGCCGGACCGGCATGTCGGTGGTCGTGCATGAAGAAGGATCCACGGTTGGGCACAAAGGCTGGGTCCTCGTCCCGACGGCGGCGGTAGTTGTCGTGCTCGTCACGGCGCTTGCTCTCTGGGGGTTCGACCGGGTCCCGGACGGCAGCGGATGCCGAGCTGACGACGACGGGGGCGGTCGGTGACTTGACAGATTTGGACGTTACCGCAGGCCGTGATGGTGGCTCGTCAATTTCGAGCTCCTGCGCTCGTGCGGGCTGATCTTTGATGGACAGTCCGTGCAGCATCATATCCGTATCGGACACGGCCTTGTTTTTGTCGGCGGTATGCTGGGTCGAGGCTTTGCGGGTGGCATCCGATGTAGGGGATGCAGCGGTAGCGGGAGGTGCGCCGTTTGTCGTCTTCTTGACACTGGGCGCGGTGGGAGATGCTTCATCGACGTTGCTGGTATCGCTATCGTTGCCAGCGCCGTGGTCATCGGTGGCGATGGATCCATCGGTCAGCGAGTCGTCCTCGAGGTCGAGGGCCTCGGCACCGGTGTCATCCTCGCCTTCATCCTCGACGCGGCGGCGGTGACCAATCTTTCTGCGACGGGGTGCAGCCATAGTCGAGGGTGGTGTGCGCGTGTGTACGGCGTGATAACGATGTTGGTCCGAGCGGGGAGTTTTTGCGTTTACAGAGCTCAGCTAATGAGAGATCTGCAGATGACCTGGGGTAGAGAGAAAGAGAGGTGTGAGGACCGATAGTTCCTGACGGTGGAAGGAAAGGAAAAAGAAGGCAATTTGGCTGGTGATGGACGGCAAAAAAAAAAGGGTAGGAATTACCAATGTCTGTGACCCAACCCACCCTGCGGTGCCAGCACAACAGCTGGAGGGAGGCGTTCAGGCCACTCTGCACGCTTCTCCGAGGCTCTGGCCTAGAAGCAGAGCAGAAGTAGCAGTAGCAACAGCAGAAAGCAGGTGACCAAGATTCCCAACGCAGCCGAGAGAAAAAAGGAAGAAAGAAAAGAAAAGAAAAGAAAAGAGGAAGGGAACAAAAAGAAAGATATCCGGCTCACAGGAGGACGACGAGGGGGGGGCGGATCAGTAGAGACCGGGAAAAGGAAGGAAGGAGGAGAGGGGGGGGGGGCAGAAGGAAGGAGGTCGGTTAGATGGGATGGACGAGGGAGGAAAGGGCCCGAAGAGAAGAGGGCGAGGGTCGATGATGATGAACTCTCAAACTGTACTCGCAGGTATTAGTGATTCGGGCCCCCAGAAAAAAAAAAAGTGTCGGGTCTCCCGGGGGAACAATTAAGAGGTGCTAGACGGCCACTGCTCATACTCTGTAGACAGCTATCAATACAGTGGTGTGTGAGTGCTTGTAGTGTTCTATCGGCATTAGGACCCGCTACTACTAGGACATGAATAATATGGAGCTGCTGGCGGGGAGCTTATGGAGAGCTGCCCGCTTACCATGCCAACGCCAACAGGCCATCACCACTGAAGTGCGCCAGCTCACCGTTCAGCGCTCTTCGCACCATGTAATAATCACAATACGGAGTAGACGGGAAAGGTGGGTCTGGAACTCCGTCTTCCCCCTTCTATGACTTGGCCGGAAAGCTCATTGATATGGACTAGTCGAGTAGCGAGTAGTATTATCGAAATGACAAATCCAGAGTTCTAACCTGCTTTACAACGGTTGTCTCGCTATAGGCGAGTATACGGGTGAATTCTATCAGGATTACATGTTCCACTGTGCTGGTGCTGGACAGGTATGAACACGGTAGAATTTCGACACCTTAACGACAACTCTTACCCTACAGACGATGACCGAGAAACAACTTGGGTTGCTTCGATAAGGTATCCATGCATCACCCGTGATGTAGAAACAAGCTGTTCCAGATGGTCTATTCCGTGATTCCATGTGACTGTGGTGTCTAGGCGCGAGCACGTCTGCTTACAGCAACTCTCACCAAGCGCTAGTCACAGTAGCAATAGTATCACTACTAAGTATTATCCATTATCAAATATACATATTATCTAGTCACCTCAGTCCTTGACATCACAAGAATACATCCAACCAGCAGTCCAACATCAATCTTAAGTTATCCCAATGGGAGCTGCTGCCCCATCACCATGCATCTTCCCCTCTCCCGCCCCTCCTCTGAACCTTTCCCCCTTCCCTTCCCACTCGGAGCTTTCCTTTTGATTCTTCCCTGTTCTGTGCGTACCTTGTGCCTTGATCTTGAAAAACCAACAATCAAGAAGGAACGATATCGGCCAGAAAGAGACGAGAGAGAAAAAAAAAGGAAAAAAAGGAAGACAGAATATTAGTAGTATTGACACATGTCTTGGGGCGCTGATCGATCGGCACTGCCATGGAATATCCCGACATCTGTGTCGTGCCTTAGTTTCTTTCATCCTCAGTAATACAACACCCCGGTCAAACGGCCTTTCTCCATCTGGCTCTCTCCCAAGCCATGACGACACACTCGGCAAGCGGGGGAAGGGAAAAAAAAAGAGAAACAAAACACGACCAAGAGTCCGAGATCTGCTCTTACGCTTTTTCATCCCACCTGATCCCACCTGTAGAGCAGAGAGCAGTAGAAGATAAAAAACTCTCTCGTATTATCTGATGGATACCCGAGAATGCTCGTTAGATGACGAGCTCCTGATTCTTCTTCATTCCTTCCTTATTCCCATTCACGCCTCCCACCTCCTGTCACCTCGGACGTCGGAGAGACGCTAATGCTCATCACCCCATAACGACATGGTATTACCACTCGTACGAGCACGCGGTGCAACGACAATCACGTAGTACGCCATCTTTTCTTCCTCCTTTCATCCATGATTCATCATACCGCCTAAAATAAAGCAGTAAGTACATGATAAAGCTCAGTCCCCTGCCTGCCAACGCTTTCCGCAGTTTTATGTGGGGGTCAGTTCGAGCCAAAGCGCAAAGCAAGCGAGCGGGGTGCGCGCCGCGCCGCGTAGTCATGTAAAAAAAGGTATGTACCTAAACCCCAACCCCAACCCCCCCCTCGGTGTGGTGTTCGGCAGACATGGCTATAATACTAAAATGTACATTACATTGGTTAGATAGGAGCGGGACTCGTTCGAACACCAACAAAAGGGATACCGTTCATAACAATAACCAAGCAGGGGGGGCTGAAAAGGAGGGGAAAGGGGGGGTTGGGTTGTTGATATGCAGTAGCACCTGTCTCGTGAACAGCAAGTGAAAGAAAGCGAAAAAACCAGCCTTGTGCCGCCGTCAAGTTGAATAAAAGCCCCGCGCACTCTTTTTCTTTCACTTTTTTCTTTTCTTTTCCCGCATTCCCCCCTCTCCCTTTTGTTCCCGTTGTTCTTTCTTCATTCTCCATTCTTCATTTCTGCTCTCTCTCTAAGACTGCTTCTTGAAACCTAAGGAGCATCTCTTTCAGCCCATTTGCATCGCTACTATACATATATAAACCTTGCCCATCAGCCCCTCCCCGACACCGGAGGACCGGCCTTCACTCCCCCATGGTCTTTGAGAAGCTCCAAAGAAATCACCAGAGATACCAGACAGAAAAAGGAGGGGGGAAAAGAGCAGGGGAGAAGCAAGAACAAAAACGAGGATGTCTTCCCTACCATCTCAACACCCAACTCTATCCCTCCACCTAACCGACTCAGCCCTGACACCTCTGATAACCTCCTCCTCCTCCCCAACCCACCTCGACTCACTCACCTCCCTGGCCTCCACAGCCTTGACATCTCACACCGCCGCATCCCGCGTCAACCTGGGCTGCCCCCAGAGGATAATGGTTGAGTACCCCGACCACGGCGCCGTCGTCCTGCAGTCGTACATCGACCCTCACCAACACCACGCCCACGACCACCACAACCAGCCCTCATCTTCCTCCTCCTCTAGATCTGCCAGCTCTATCGTCGGCGCTGCCCGCCCCTCCTCCGCCTTCGCCGCTGCTACCACTGCCACGCCCGCGCTAAGGTCATACACCACTCCCGACCCGGATGATGCTCCCCCCCGGCTTGTCAGCGTCGTCGTGGCCGGCTCTGCCGATCAGGCCCGCGAGGCCCGCCGGGCTGCTGCCAGGTTGGAGAGGCTCGGCCGCGATTTCCAGAGGGAGTGGGCTACAGAGTCTTTGACTGAGACTACTACACAACCTTGGTGAGACCCCGGCTGTCATCCTCTCTATTTTACGAGTTACGCGGGGCTATTCTTCTGAATACGAATGCATGGTTACGAAGTACAAAAGATCACGTTGTCTTAAGCGTCATACCCTCTTCTTCCTCCTCCTCCTCCTCCTTATTCTTCTTGTTCGTATTTTCTTCTCATTTTCAACCCAATTATGGCATAGTCTTAGCATGAGCGAGTCTTAACAGTACTAGCATACTTGACAATAATGCAATCGTCAAGAAACTAGTTTTGAATTCATTGAAACTTCCTGTCAAACAATTTGTGATATCTAATTCCTTATTTTCCCTTAAATTACCTTTAATCCCTTTCCTTTCCCGCTTACAGAATCTGCTGGAAGGCACGGTTGAGAGGAGAGCGAATGTTGGGGACGTCCTTCCAGAAGTCGACGGTGGCGACGGCACGCTTGGAGATACCCTCAGGGGTGAACTCGAACTTCTGCAAGGGTTGTTAGAATCTGTTGTCACCGAATGAGGGAGGGAGAGGAGGAGAGAAACTTGCCTTGTAGACATCCTTGTAGGCACCAGAGGCACCGAAGCGGTTGATGCCGAACTGCTCGTGAGTGTAGCGCTCCCAGCCCATGGTGCTCATGACTTCGACCGACAGGGAGGGGATGCCATCGGGCAGGACCGAAAGGCGGTACTCCTTGCTCTGGAGGTCAAAGACCTCGAAGCAGGGAATCGAGACGAGACGGGCCGTGATGTTGTGCTTCTCCTTGAGGTACTGAGCGGCCTCAACGCAGATGCCCACCTCGGAACCGGTCGACACGATAGTGATATCGGCCTTCTCGGCCTCCTGGAGGACGTAGCCACCCTTGCGAGCCTTCTCGATGGTGGAGCCGTGGAGCTGGGGAAGGTTCTGGCGGGAGAGAGCAATGATGCTGGGGGTGTTCTTGGAGGTGATGGCGACGTAGTAGGCAGCGCTGGTCTCGTTGCCGTCGGCGGGGCGCCAGACCATGGTGTTGGGGAGGGCACGGAAGTGGCTGAGAGTCTCAATAGGCTGGTGGGTAGGACCATCCTCGCCGAGACCGATGGAGTCGTGGGTGGCGACCCAGATGTTACGGACCTGAGAAAGGGCCGATAGACGAACGGCACCGGCAGCGTACGAGACGAAGTTGAGGAAGGTACCACCGTAGGGGATCAGGGTGCCATAGGCGGCCAGACCGTTCATGATGGCACCCATGGCGTGCTCACGGACACCGTAGCGGATGTAGCGGCCGCTGTAGTCGCCGAGGCCGGTGGACTTGGGCTGGAAGTCGACGGCGTCGTTCCAGCGGGTCAGGTTGGAGCCCGTCAGGTCAGCAGATCCACCGATCAGCTCGGGGAGAACCGACTGGATCTTGCTGAGGACGGTCTCGGAGAGCTTGCGTGAGGCAATGGCAGGGTCCGAGGTGGTGTAAACGGGCAGGCTCTTCTCCCAGCCCTCGGGAAGCTCGCCCTTGAGACGGCGGGCGAGGTCAGCGTGCTCCTTGGGATAGCTCTCGGCGTACTTGGCGAAGAGCTTGTTCCACTCCTCTTCGGCGGCGGCACCCTCGGAAGAGTGCTTGCCGTAGAAGTCGTAGACGTCCTTGGGGACGGCAAAAGACTCCTCGGGGTTGAAGCCGAACTTCTCCTTGACCTGCTTAATGTCGTCGGCCTTGAGGGGCGAGCCGTGGACACCGTGGGTGCCCTGCTTGAGGGAGCCGAAGCCGATGGTGGTCTTGAGCTGGATCAGTGTGGGCTTGTCCTTGACGGACTGGGCCTCCTTGATGGCGGCGTGCATGGCCTCGAGGTCGTCGTCACCGCGGCTGACGGAAACGACGTGCCAGCCGTAGGCCTCGTAGCGCTTGACGACATCCTCGGTGAAGGCGGAGTTGGTGCTACCGTCAATAGAGATACCGTTGTCGTCCCAGACGGCGATGAGGTTGCCGAGTTGAAGGTGGCCAGCCAGAGACGAGGCCTCGCCAGAGACACCCTCCATTAGGCAGCCATCACCGAGGAAGGCATAGGTGTAGTTGTTGACCAGGTCGAAACCGGGCTTGTTGAAGGTAGCAGCAGTGTGGGCCTGGGCTATGGCAAGACCAACGGCGTTAGAGATACCCTGACCCAGAGGGCCAGTGGTGACTTCGACACCGGCGGTGTCGTGGGCCTCGGGGTGACCCGGGGTGGCGCTGTCGATGCTCTATTACATGGTGATGTTAATATCAGGTCTGACTGGTGACTGCCGACCAGAGCGGCGACAAAACTGCCCAAGAAGGTACTTACACGGAAGGCCTTGATGTCATCCAAAGACAGAGGGTAGCCGTAGAGGTGGAGAAGGGCATACTGGAGCATGCAGCCGTGGCCGTTGCTAGAGGGGCGACATCGGTCAGCGGAACTCTCGGCTCGGATCGCTGTGCTCCGAAGCTGGTGGGAGGGGAAGAGTTCAAGGAGAAAAAAGAAGAGCAACTCACGAGAGGACGAAACGGTCACGGTTCAGCCAGTTGGGGTTCTTGGGGTTGAACCTCATGAAGTTCTGGAAAAGGACGTGGGCAATGGGAGCCAATCCCCTATTTGTATCTGTCAGGAATATGCGATTCTACGGCGGGCGCGGGGTTCAGAAGAGGAGAGAGGGGAAAAAACTCACATGGGAGCACCGGGGTGTCCCGAGTTGCTGGCGAAGGTAGCATCAACCTAAAATGTATATGTCAGTTATGATGATATTCTCTGAATGATTTCGTGTGTATTTCTCTTCGTCGACGGGTGAAGCAGAAAGCAGAAGACAGACGCGACAGACGATGAGGCGTTTTGGCGGGGTAGACAGAAAATGACGTTGAAGGAGGGGCAGCTCCGGATTAAGGAGCTAAAAGAAGGGGAGAGAAAACTTACCGCGAGAATGCGGATGGTGTTGATGGCCAGCTTGTCAATGTCTCCGTAGCCCATGATTGCGGTATTTGAAGGTATTGACTTGGGGAAAAGAGGTTGAGCTGTTCAGGAAGAGGGTGAAGTGTGTTTGAAGGAAGAGAGTAGAGGGAAAGGGATGGAGGAGGGGAGGAGAGAATATGAAGACGGAGACGGGCGGGGGGCTTCGTTTGTTTGGGCGGCAGGTACGGATACTGCTACTGGTCTTGTAGTGATCTTACTCGTTGGAGGGGGAGGGGGAGGGGCAAAGGTCTTGGGTGCTAGGGAAATGGACAGCAATGCTCCGTACCAGGCATACAGACGGCGTCTAATACTCCGTACAGGTTACAGGCCGTTACAGGTTACGAGTAGTAATGCTATCGAGTTGAGTGTACATGCCGTGGTTGGTAATAATACTAGTCCTGGTAGTAGACCTGTACACGTAATGTTGTATCAACTTCTCTCCCTCTCTCTCCCTCTCGCGGGTCGTGTAGCATCCGCCGTAGTGATGGCGCCTCTTCTTCTACAGCATCTCTCGTCCACCGCGAGAAGGAAATCAGATTACGCCTCTGGCCGCCCATAGGGAAGGACATGAGCGTATCATCACTACAGACATGGCAATGTAACCTACTATATGACACGATGCAGATGGTCTCAGTAATATATCTGCCTCGATGCTTGGCTGCCAGGGTTAGAGGACTGTCGAGTGTCGACACACCACTTCATATACGTTATTACCCCCCAGCCTTCTCGGGAAGAGGCGGTAATCATAATAAGCTCTACAGGTGCAGAGGGAACCTCTGGATGCCTAACAAGTTTGTGTCAGTACACACGGAGCAGAGTATTCCAGGCCAAATGGTACATCTGGGTAAGTTTAGCTGGAATGGAAATCCCTGCTCAGTCCCTCTTTTTTTTCTGTCTGCCCCTCCTTACCACCAGGAAGGTTCCCCTCGCCCCTCGTTCGCGCGCCACTACGAGGAAATACGGAGTAGCAGAGGATGCAAAAAAAAAACTCTCTTCGCGCCGCACCACCATAAGAGTCTCCATGAATTTATCATGCCATCACTTCCATACTGTCTCTATGATTCACCTGGATTTGGTCATATCCGTCAGAGTCTTACTTTACGACACATGCTATGGCGATAATGGTGTCAGTACGACTACCTCCAGGTACGATGACGTCGACCTTGAGTAATGTGTATTGTAATTCAAAGGTGGGGCAATTCCATCCATTGCTGTCCTGCCCCTCGTTCCGGAGCTCATGCTGCATCTGCTGTTACAAGCTGCTAATAGTGCGGGATATTTGTCTGTAATATGTGCATCATGCGTCCTACGCCAATTATAAAACCGGCTCGTACGGATTCCCCAGCCGTCTTTGCAGTTGCTGGTGGTGGTAGTCGTGACCATGTCGATTTCGCGTGGCGGATCGTAACACCCCGACATACAATGAGTAGATACCATCACCACCAACCACGCGGGGGGGGGGGGGGGGGGGGGGGGGGGGGGGGGGGGCGGCCAACGCGCCTATGGAGGATATGACTCGTACTTTTACGACTTGAGTTGATAAATCGCCCCATGGGTGAGGTGCTTAGCGGGAACCGTGCAATCGATACATGTATTATTAATATATTGATATACAGACTATTATGTCACAGCTGCAGTCTCTTCCTCGCGTCTCAACACGGCAAGATCAGCTCATATTCATATAATACGTACGTGGGGTCTTACGTTCTGGGTTTGTATAATAATACTATGCTCTCACTGCTACTAGCATTATGATAGCAATAGCAATTCTTTGAATTTCAGGTATTATGTTTGCCTTGATGTACAGATGAACCAATGCTGGAAAATGGAAAAATGTCATTTTCCCACTGATGATCTCATATGGAGGGCTCATCTGGGTTTCCATCTTCTGCTGACATGTGCGTTGACCATACCGCTTCCCCCCGCAGTGCGTCGTACTATCAACGGCCATGTTCCTTCAAAGAAGAGAACCGAAGTTCATCGTAAATAGAAGCAAAGGATCTATCAGCAACAGCATTAGGATTAGGCTCAGATACACCTATTCCGTTGGCTGACACCATGGGAACCAAGCCTTCACATTTTCAGATTCCGCCATTAACTTTCATCCAATCAACAGGTCGCGTGGCCCAATGGCAAGGCGTCTGACTACGAATCAGAAGATTGTGGGTTCGATCCCCACCGTGACCTATTCTTTTTGCATTCCTTTGCTTTAACATCCTATATCTGTTCTGTGGTTTTTTTTTTCGACTTCCTTCTTGTTAAGACATCGTTGATATATCGACAAAATTGACGCCTGGATGATGTGGCGGGCTGACGCCTTCCAATCTCCATATGTACTGTAGTCTTGATGCACATGAACATAGGAAGGTGCATCAAGGTAGGCAGCAGCAGTATGATACGCTCCTGCCTCCCTTCAATTATACAACGTATTCCAGTTGATTCAAACACCATCATCTTCCATATTCCACCTACATTGGGTATCTAAAGACGGGACAGTGTTTCGTTCATGTAAACGGACTAATAGAGGTGGTTGTAATATTTCCTGGCTTAAAAGAGATACTTCATACTTCCAACCTATCCGCACATGACTAAGAACCGACAATAGAGCTACTACGACTGATTCTATATCACTTGAGAAATTTCACATAAACCCTCCTGAACTTCATATCATCATACATTGAGGGTTATATACAAGAAGAAAAAAACCCAATACTGATGGTGTTGGTAACCAAACTATCCCTCCACCTTACCAAACGATTCAAAGGAAATATTAAAAAAAGCTTGCACCGCGGGGTAGTTTATCATGGTAAAAAAATCATCAGGAAAAAAGGCGACGACGACGACACAGAAGGTCGCCGCCACCGTCACTACGCCGCCAGTATCACCCGAAGTTCAAGGCGACCCTAAACACCAGCAGCGCCTCCTAGATATCTTCTCCGAAGCCTTCTACTCCGTCCTGTCGGCCGACACCTTCCCCACCCTCATCCAGGAGATCAAACAGGCCCTCTTCAACCGGGACTTTTCCACGGCCTTTGGCAGGGAGGACTACCTCGAAGCCTACGCTGCTCGATGGAGCCCTACGCGCGCTCTGTGCTATTCCCATGTCCTGCGGGGGCTGGAGAGTCATCTGTCGCCCATTACCACCGCCGCCGCCGGCAGTGATAAAGGCCGCAGCAATCTACAAGTCGTCTCGATAGGCGGCTGCGCAGCCGAGCACGTGGCCGTGGCGTCGTACGTGAGCCAGTGCTCCCTGGAAGGCGGGCACATCACGCTGGTCGACTCGGCGCCTTGGTCACAGGTCGCTTCGCTGATGCATGCGCGGCTCACCATGCCGCCCGAGCTATCTAGGTACGCCTCCGCCTCGGCAAAGGCGTCGAACTGCGCGTTTATCGAGCCCGAGCGCCTTTCCATGAGCTTCGTGCAGAAGGATGTCCTGTCCCTGGACGGCCGGACTGTGGCCGACTTGCTGAGGCTGGGGCCGGGGGAGGGTAGGGATCCGCTCCTGGTCACGCTATTCTTTACCCTGAACGAGCTGTACACGGATGGTGGCATAGGCAAGACGACGAGTTTCCTTACCAGTCTGGGGCGCAGTCTGCCAAACGGGAGCCTGCTTCTCGTCCTGGATAGCCCGGGGAGCTACTCCGAGACGGCGCTGGGCAAAGAGAAGAAGCGGTACCCCATGCACTGGCTGCTGGACCACACGCTCCTCAAGGCCGATGATGCCAGTGTCAAGTGGGAGAAGCTGAAGTCCAACGACTCCAAATGGTTCCGTCTACCGGATACTCTGAGATATCCCATGCAGCTGGAGAATATGCGCTACCAAATGCACCTCTATAAGCTAGAAAGATGTTGAATGGGTCCCCTCTTTCCGCTCGATATATATCAAAAAAATAAGTATCGAAAGAAGAAGAAGAAAGAGAAACAAATAGAGAACAAGAAAAACAAACTCCAATATCCGTACTGGAAGCGCAGACTTTTATGCTCATGCCCATACTAGCTTCTTTATAGAATGCCCCAGCTGCTCCAGCAACCCTGTATTCCGCCTTGCTTCCTCCAGAGAGATAATGTCACTCCTCTCTATGATGCTGCTCTCCTTCTCGTCGCGCCTGGACACCCGACACTCGAGAACCAGGCGCTCCATCTCAGCGCATATATTGGATGCCTGCTGCTCCTCCGTCTGCTGCTGCGATGCGCCGCCGATGGCCACGGTAGACGAGTCTACATATGGCACCTTGAACGCGAGCCTGCACAAGGGGGGCTCTTTATTAACGCCCCCGAAAAGACCATCAATCAGGCTCATTGGGCGCGCCCCGTCGCCGGGCTCGGGTGCCAGGTCATCCCGGCTCGAAAGTGTGCGCGTGTTGGTCCTCGTGATGTCGCTCTTGCCGGGCTGGTACGTCACGACGAACCCGACATTCTTGGATGGGTCGGCCTGCGAAGTCGAAATGGTCGACGTTATGTATGTTCCCACCCTTATACCCGTAATGTTGGCCAGGTTGACCCTCTCGAAGGATGACACTTTGTCCATATTCCAGTCGAATCGGCAGAGGTACACCGCTGCGTCCGTCAGGAGGAGCACCACTTCCTCCATGGGGAGAGTCTTGATGGTGTTGGACACGTTGGGTGTGAGCAGGGCCCACCCTCCGTGGAATTCTTCATCCTCATCGGCCACGACGCGCTTCTGGCACAGTTCAACGGCCTGCTCGCGCATCTTGGTCATGGAGATGGCCGGGTCTTTGTTCTTCATGTCGGCCTCGAATTCTTCGAATACCTTGTCGTTGACGTTCCCCAGCAGGAAATCTATGGCTGTTTGGCTGAAGTAGTCATTTACCATTCTAGTGTTGCAGTCAGTAACATAGACGGTAACGGGGCTTAAGATCGTGAGAGTAAGAGATCGTACCCGCTGTAGAATCGTGCAAGGGACAGACCGAGGTCGTTCAATGCACCCCGGTAGTCTCGTTTCTTGGTCCTGGTGTAGTCGCCCTTCATGGCTGCCGTGGATGCATACTGCTTGGATATAGCGTCGCCATTGTCCGCCCATAGCGTATTGAACCAGATACTTTGCTGGTCCACCTGGGCACTCATGTCGAACCCGTCTTCCTTGAGCTGCAAGTCGAGCATATGGCGGGCAAAGGAGCTCTGGCAGACATTCGTACGGTCCAGGCAGTCCATGCAGTTTGTGCGGATGATGCCCTTCTGCCTCTCCACCACTTTCCCGTCCCGTACCCTCGCGCTTCCCAGATGCTCGATCTGATCTCTCAGACGGGACAGAAGGAGGTTGACATTCTCAAACTTCATTCCGCGACAGGCGCGGTGGAAGTCAAACCACTCGAATGACAGGGGTCCGGGGGATTGTTGCGACGGTCCAACCTCGCTTTGCTCGCTCGTCAGCCGGTTTAGGTAGTCGACCGTGTGCTCGTACCGCGTGCCAATGGCGGCCTCGACGCCATGCTTCTCAACCAGATTGACGATTTGGATCTCCCCATACGTCCTCCGTAACCTGTCGAAGTGCTTCCGGCATGCTTGTCGGTTGGTCTCCTCGGAGTGCTGCAGAACCGGCACCGGCTTGAGGGAGTACGGCGTCTGGGAAAAGAAGAGCGGTATGCTACCCCTGACCTGGAGGTAGGATCGCGTCTGGGGGGAGCTGACTTGGCTTTCCGTGGGGGACAGGAGCTGCTCCGTCTCGACCATGTTGGCTACTGAGCCGTCTTGGTTCACGCCGCGGCGGAGGTAGCGCAGACCAGCCCTCTGGGTGGACCGGCGAGAGATGAGGGTGATGGTATAGCTCTTCTCCGAGTCCCGGCGCCTAACGTCACCGTCGTCATCGGCTTCAGGGCTGGTGCTACCAACGGGAGCGGGCGATTGTAGATTACTTAGCTCCACCGACTCTACTCCCAAGTCGTCAACCTGCGGGGGGTTGCTGTCTACAATGAAGGAGCGTTGTCCCACGAAGCCCTGCAGAAGTGGGAGGGATACGGACTCGTGGCCCGCGTTCAAGAAGGGCAGCATGAGGTTTCGGTTCCAGAAGAAGACGTCGTCGACCTGGGAATAAAGAGGAATCTCAGGGTTCAGGGGGAATTCAGTCCTCCTCGCCAGGCTGCGTGTTAAGTCGAAGTCGTACGCGAAGTAGAAGCTTCTTGATGAGCCAAAGTACACCTGGACCATCTGGAGGAGTTTTGGGATCAGGTTGGTGACTTCCTCCGGTGAGGCTGCGGGTGCCAGGCTCTCAGAAGGTGGCAGTGTGCTCATCTCTGGTGTCTTGATAGGCGACGGGGTGGGAGACATGGTGGGTGAGTTGCTAATACCCAGAGGCGGCTTCTTGCCCACAGTCCAGCCATTGCGACTAAACCAGCTCTGCGCGAACCCACCGTAGCTTCCTCTCCTATTGAAAACATCTTGAGCCACGCGCATCTCAGGCGAGCGAGGTTCGTTCTTGAGGCCATCGTCGAAGGTGAGAACGACGGCATCATCGACGTCATCATCGGCATCGCTGCTCCGTGGATCCACGCCGTCGTCATCATCGCTACTGTCATCATCATCGCCCACCCCATCGTCTGAGGCTACAGGTCCAGACAATGACTGCTGTGTTTTGCGAATGGATTCCTGTGCCTCAGCCTTTGACGCACATGGTGTCAAGGCCACATCTGTGACAACATAAATAGGCGACCCATCCACCTGCGCAACCTGCTGTCGCCGCGTGATACTGACCAAGTAACTAAGCTTGGAGACAGTTATGAGCCCTGCGGCACACTTAGTAACACAGCACAGACGTATAGATGGGAAAGGGTTGACGGCTCACCTATAATGCCAAAGGCCTCAAACGACGAGTCGTCGTCATCCGAGTAGTATTCGGGTGTCTGGCCAGGCGAAGCCAAGGACACGACGTCACTACCATACTTTATGCACAGGGTCTGAAACGGCCTCTGTCCCTTTGCAGAGCGAGGTTGGATGACCAGGCCGTCGGTGGCCGTGCAAATGACGACCTTGCGGGCAAGTCCGGGCATCATGCAAATGCGGGAGGGAAGGGGACGGTCCGCATATAATGCCCGTAGCCGGTGCTAATGGGACCAAATTGTGCCTGCGTCTTTATATGATGATGTGTGCGCGCCCGTGTGCACCTGTGATTTTTTTTTATCCTTCGCAGAGAGAGAGAAATATGGTGGGTGAAATGGATTGTGTCACAAGTTCGGTTGCGCGCATGCGTCGCTGTAGGAATAATATAGTGTGTGAATGACCTTTGACGTATGAGAGACATTTTAGGCCTATAGTAATTTTTGTCCGAGGGGACTGGATCTGGGGCTCCTGTTCTTATCTGATCGAATCACGTCACTGTGCGTGGAGGCTACGGGCCATCGGTGCTCAAACGGAAGAATCTATTGCCTCTTTTTTTCTTTTCTTTCTCGCTTAAGAATCTGATCCTTTTTTTCTTGATTAGACTATTTTGGTTCGGTGATGTTGCCTTTGTCGGTTTTTAAAGCTTATTGGCAACATATCCATGTTCAACGACGACCCCCCGCGAAGGCCACCCCCGACATTTGCACTCACATAGCGAGCACGATGGAATCAATGGTAGCTAGGCCGTGAACACCAAGTGTTTTACTGCATATGCAGCTGCATTGAGTCCGGCTTTGGGTATTCTTTCTGATGCCTGGCAAATTGCAGTCACTCTTTGATGGCCATATTTTCATGGAATAGCGCCCCCAATTCGCCGGCACTATTGAACATTTTCACAAGAGACAGGACAGGACTGATGGTGCATAGACAGGAGAATTGCATCGTTGAATTTCCATATGAATTACATATCACGGGGGCTCTGAGCTTCTCGATTCATTATCATGTATATTCCACGACTTGAACATCCGCGGCAAGCTACCGGTACCTCGCAACAAAGGCCTCCGCCGTTGTATCGTCGACCCTCGATGTGTTCCTAGCACCTATTCGCCCAATCCGTTTCTCCGTGCAGTGTGAGATGTGAGTCCGTCTTAGATGGCGAGGCGCTCAACCTTGTCGCGCATGGCGCGGATCTGGCCAGCCAGCTCACTGGCGTCGTTGCTGGTGATACTGGCGGCAATGACGGGCCGGCTAACACCGCAGGCACGGCCGAGGTGCATCTTGCTACTGACGTAGACATATGGAACCTGAAGGCATTGACTAGTTAGCACAATCGCCCCAAATCCTGGATAGGCATATAACTTACGTTCTTGTCCTCGCACAGGAGGGGAATGTGCAGCAGAATGGCAAGAGGCTGGGTGTCGGCAGCGAGGATGACGACCTCAGAAACACCACGGTTCAGCGTCTTGGTGGCCTCGTTGGCACCCTTCTTGAGCTGGCGGGCGTCTGTAAAACGATCGGGTTAGAACTTTCGGTCGAGTGTCGGCAGGGGAGGAGGGGAAGGGAGAATCATACGAGTGGCAGACTGAACAAGGTCCAAAATCTCCTGCTCCAACTTAGCATCGGCCAGGGGCCAGGCTATCAAGAAAAAAAATTAGCGCGATATGTTCTCAATAACGCTTGCTTGCTTGTGAGCGTAGTGAACAAGTAGTCGTACCAGCAGATTCAGACATCTTGAGTAGATTGTTCAGATAGTCAAGAGCCCCGAGAGGGTATTCAGTGTTGTATTCCGTACGGACAGGTTAGAATGACAGGGTTCCTTGCGTTGGCTCGCCCTGAAGGGTTCGGTCGTGATGACTTCGGTGGTGAGGAAAGAAAAAAGTTGGTTGACTATCACAAGAAAAAAAAAACCCTCCAAACAAATATTATCAAATCCTAGTAAGAGGCGAACTTTACTGTGTGGGGCATCTGAGAGCGCTGACTGTCTTAACCCATTTTCGGCAGTGGAGACTGGGAAAATTACTTTATCCTTCTTCCGCGTCTTATGTAACCCACCCCTGCCACGGTGCCGCAGGCAGAGCCTTCCAGCCAGCTCTCCCCCCCAAAGTTTGGCCGCCAATCTTGGAACCGTGACTTGAACACGCAAACCTCGCCCAGACCATCCACCGGCATCGAAAGCTCATCAACCGAGACCACCTTCGCCAAACGTCTTGTAGCTCTCCCTAAGCCGACAAGCAGATCTCGCTTCCTACATATTTTTTCTTCTCTCTTTCGATCAGCCATCTCAACACCGCCACCATGGTCTCCGAATACTGGTACGTCAGCGCGCCTCCCTATCCTACGGTCGCCCAGGTGTCCCAGGAGCGTTTTTCTATCAGAGAACCTTGTTGCCATCTCAGAAACGCTTTACGGTTCCCATCGCGTTCCTTGTCGTTTGGCTATCTTCCGGATTTTGAGCTAACAATGCCTTCTCTCACAGCCCCGTCTACTCGGTTAGTTCTCCTTAACTACCGCACCCACATCCCTGCCTCTCTCCCGACCGACGTCACCCTCATGCGCCCCTTTTAGCTATGGCCGCCGTCGGCGCGGCGACGGATGGAGCTTTTCCCGTCATCGAATCCTGTCTTGCTTAGTGCTGCTAACAAATAATGAACAAATAGCCCTTCTTCGGTGCTATGGGCTGCACCTGCGCCATTGTCTTCACCTGCTTTGGTGCCGCGTACGGTACTGCCAAGTCTGGTGTTGGTATCTCTGCTATGGGTGTCCTCCGCCCTGACCTGATCGTCAAGAGTGCGTTGCATTATACCCAATTGGCAACACATCGGTCCGAACATGCTTGCTAACTCGACAATCTACAGACATTGTTCCCGTCATTATGGCTGGTATCATTGGTATCTACGGTCTTGTCGTCTCGGTCCTTATCTCCGACGGCCTGAAGCAGGACCTGCCCCTCTACACCGGATTCATCCAATTCGGTGCTGGTCTGTCGGTCGGTCTCGCCGGTCTCGCTGCCGGTTTCGCCATTGGCATCGTTGGTGATGCAGGTGTCCGTGGTACCGCTCAACAGCCTCGTCTCTTCGTTGGCATGATCCTTATTCTCATTTTTGCCGAAGTCCTGGGTACGTCTTACCTTCTAACACCCGTCTTTTGGACGCCGATTTGTACAGAGTCGGGCAAACTAACGCATCGCAGGTCTCTACGGTCTGATTGTCGCTCTGCTCATGAACTCCAAGGCGACTCTCAACGCCAGCTGCGACTAGGCTTCCGGCTAAGACCTACCAATTGATGACTGGGCTAAGGCCACGGCTTAGTAAGGGCCGTCACGACTCCCGCGAAACTTTGGTTATTTTCGGGCTTCCATCATCATGACAATGACTTTTTTATTTATAACTTTCCCAGGCGGCAGGGGAAGTGTGTGTGCGAAGAGTAGTAGTCACTTTTTTCGACCTGGCCTGGCAGGACTTTTTTGTTTTCCAAAACAGTCGTCGCCGTCCCGCATAATCAAGGGCTATTCTCGCTTCGGTTGCGGGAGTCGAGGGCGGCTGTTACAATGTATACTAGTCACACACGGCATATCAGGGAAGGGGGAGTGTTAGGTTTCTTATTTTTTTTTTCTCTTTTTTCGATAGACCCGAGCCAGGGGTGTGTGCAATTTAGCTACGCTGTCACCGATGTTGTCTTGTGTCTTTGAGTATGGTGGTCAAGGAGAAGAGTTGACAAGTTTGAATCCTTGAACGTTTCAATCATTAGGTTGGCATATGATAATAGAGGAACTGCGTATTTGTCTCTTGTGTAAATGCTTCTTTCCGGTCATCATGTTTAACTTCGAACTATGGCCAACGCCGTTACCCACTGTCGCAACTCCCAACGTAACATGTTACACGTACCCATGGACTCGATATACAACGATTGTCCCCCCGCTCATGCCAACTCGATACCACTGTACTAACCATTATAAGAGAAGAAGAAAACATTAAGATAATAATAAGACTTATATAGTTCGACAAAACATCAACAATCACCCCTTTTTCGTGCTTATAAGAGAGAAAAAAACTCCCTCCCCGCCACCTTGAATTCTGGATCGCCGCCCAGGTTTCTGTACACGTTAAGAATGAAATCCGTTCTCTTCCCCATCCGCATCAAGCCCCGCCCAACAATAACATTCCGCGTCGACGATTAAAAGTATAAGTATGAGTGCGAGGTGTGCAGGTCTCCATTTGACAAGTACTCCAGGAAAAAAAGAAGGGGGCCCGAGTCTAGAAGAAGAGACTTGGCGCCCCAAGAAACATAGGTAATATGTACGTGTATGAAGAGGGAAATGGCCCAAACGACTGGCAGAAACTGCCTAGGCGACTTAGATGACGTACTGTGGAACTCGGTTAGTCGGGGTCATATAGTATAAAAGCGAGAGAGGGAGAGAGAACGTACTGGGATGAAGAGGTAGGGCACGCGCTTCTCGTACTCGATCCAGGCATCTCCGTACTTTGTGCGGCAGCGGTGAATGTCGCGCGAGGCACGGTGGGCAATCATGCAACAGAAGAAGACAGGGTAGAACCAGGGGAACGGGCTGTGGAAGCCGGTGATGAGGCCCCAGGAGATGGAGAACCAGGCGTCGGCGGTGTAGTGGATCTTGCGGGCGAGGCCGTACCAACCGTCGACGAGGATGGTGCCCTCAGGGGACTGGATAGTCTTGGGGTTGTGGACGGTCTGCCAGGGAACCTGGGGGAAGGTCCTGCGGGGGATGAGCTTGCCCTTCTCCATGGCGCGGAAGCGGTTCTTCTGGCTGTTGCAGCTGTCCCAGACCCAGTACCAGAAGAGATAGGCGACGTAGAAGGCGGCGAGGGCATAGCGGTTCCAGCGGTACTCGGCCGGGTCATGGTTGGCCAGGTAGATGGTGCAGTGGCAGTAGGAGAGGGGGACGCCGGCGAGGTTCCAGAAGATGAGCATGAAGCCCCACTTCTCGTAGTACATGTCCCAGGTGGTGATGATGAGCTCCTCGCCCTTGGAGCAGGCGTTGGCGTACAGGTAGTGGGCCATGACGACAAAGGCCACCTCACCCGAGACGTAGCCGTACGTCTCGTACTGGCGGGCGGCGGTACCCAGAGACAGGATGAGCAGGAAGTACCAGGGCATGCGGACCTCGAAGAACATCTTGAAGTCGAGGATGCCAAACATGCGGGGGTTGAGCTCGGCGCCCATGAAGAAGTCGTAGATGGGGTAGCCCGTCATGCGGTGCTGCTTGCCCCTCCACAGGGCCGAGAAGTATGCGACGAAGCTGACGATGAAGCCGCTGAAGATGGCGACGGACAGGAGCGGGCCGAACTCGTCGATGGCGTTGTACAGCCGCCAGACGCCGGAGAAGTGCAGGACGGCCAGGACGGAGAGGGTGAAGTACAGGCTCGCGTAGGCGTTGCAGAAGTAGCGAAGCTGCTTGCCCCCCATGTGAGGCAGGGGCTTCCCCCAGCCCCAGACGCCGGGGAGGAGGCAGTAGCAGGCGCCCTCGAAGATGAGGTAGCTCCAATACCAGGCCCAGGCCTTGGCGTGGGGGAACGCGCCGGTGTAGACGAGGTTGAAGAGGTGCTGGCCGAACTCGGGCCAGGTCTGACCCTCGGAGCGGGAGGGGAACCTGCCGTCGTAGTAGGTGGCGCCAACCCACATGTACCACATGATTAAGGGGAAGATGATCATCATGGAGAGGGTGCCAAGGGAGCCACCAAATTCGACCTCGCCCGAGTAGTCGATCCTGGGGTCCTGGCCGGGTTTCCAACCGTCGACGACGCTAACAGCCGAGGCTTCGGCAGCAGCGGCAACACCGTTCGCCTTCTTGGCATGGGCGGTGCCGTTGCCATTGCCATTGGCGGCAGCAGCAGCGCCGTTTCCGTTGGTGGCAGTGGCGCTCTTACCGAGGCCATTGGCCACGCCACTGGCGGTGGGCTTGACCTTGGTCTCCTTATCCAGACTCTCATCCATCTCCTCGGTGAACCTAGCGGTGCGGCGACGGGTAGAGCGGGTCGTCTTCTCGGGAATCGAGCTGGTCTCGGTCTCGGCGTCTGAAGGAGCGTTGTCGGCAGGGACGGAAGATTGACGACGAGAGGAACGGCGCTGTGGCAAAGGCGTCTCTGTCATGCCCTGAAAGAGTTCCTTCTTCCTGAACGAGAGTCAGTCGAACAGGTTTGGAGCCAGAATGTATAGAGCTAGGCCAATTACCCGTGCGAAGTAAAAGGGGGGGGGGGGGGGGGGAGAGAATGGTCATCACATACTTTGGCGTCTGCCTGAGAGAATATCTTGTTGACATATTGGAAGGATGTTTTGTGCGCGAGGATGTGAAGCCTCCTCTTATACCTGTGTGGCCCAGAGGGCTAGTATTATTCTATACGATAGACGACGGGGGTGGTCTGGGGCAAAAGGAAAAGAAAAAAAGAAAAAGAAAAAAAGAAAGAAAGGCACGAGATTGGAGAGGGAAAGAAAAGGGAGGGATCGATCATAAGACGAGGGCTACACGAAAGGAGCGTCAATCGGCCATGCAGTGGGACGGAGAAGTAGCCCCCAAGCGCGTGTTATAGTGTGTAATAGTGGTAACAGTAAGTTCCAAGACCAGGCCAGGCCGGGATGCTGAAAGATGGTGCGAAGAGTGGGAATGAATGAACGGACGTAGATCGGGGGGGGGGGGGGGGGGGGTGTGTGAAGGAAAAAGGATCGGGAAACGAAGGAGAACCAAAAGAGACGAAGAGGACAACAAATCCACATTCGCACAACAACCGGTGAAGCGGAATTAATACCAAGTCGTCGACGGGTAAGAGATGTATGTGGTCGCAGTGACCCGATGACCCGATTCTGGAACTGGAACCGTTCTTCTTCCAACGATTGGCGCGCGCGCTCTACAATTTGTTTTTGCCTCTGTCCATTTTATTTTGATTATTGACATTGCAGCTCCCCGGGGTGATGGCCATTCAGGGGGGGGCCAAGCCGATTTGCTCATGTCTAACTCGTTTCGGCCTAGGCTTCCCACGCTGCTATTCCATTCCTTTTTTTTTTCTTTTCTTTTCTTTTTTTCGTCCCTTTTCTGCCGCTACTGAGGCGTACTCGTAATCGTATTGTCACTTGACGGTTAGTCGGGTGTATTGTTTAACACTACATGTGTAAGTACAGTGGTGTACCTATATTAATCCCGCTAGACTCTAATGAGCGGCGATGACGACCCCAACAGCGATGCCGAACGGAGAATGTGGATGTTCCGTAACTCAGAGCATGGGAAAATACCTGTATTGCCACTTGCCAGTACGAGCCTCTCCCTTGCTGGTTAAGAGCGGCGCTGAGTTCCATCTCCACTTCCGGACTACGCCAGGGAGGGTCTAATTGCTGGACGGATGCACGTCTCGTCTAGCAAATAACAGACGGCTAGACGAGGAGATGTCAGTTCACAATGATGATGCGCTTACTCAGGCATTGATATGATTGTTCTGTTTCTTACCTCATATAACACGACGCGAAAACATGTAGCATGTTAACGAGACGACATGACCTCTGGGTCTTGGCAAGACCGGATGATGGAGGAGTCGCCGCTTCAACGGTCCGTACGAGTATGAGGATGTGAGAGAGCCCCGATTCAATTCCCCACCAGCATACGAGCATGGAGCAGGAGCGGTAGTGGTATAATATCTGTACTGCTTTTGTATGGCATCTCGTACGTTCAATCGTTCCTGGATAGAGGAGCAGAGCTAGCTAGACGAGACATGCGGCGACGAAACGTGTGGCGGTGTTGTCGGTATCGATGTAGACATCAAGTCAATCACCTCCTTTTTCTTCTCTGACGACATCATCACCGACCACGGACCACCACTAATGCTGTCCACTTGGCTTTGGCAATGCACAGCAAATCGTAGACAGAAAGTGATGACATCTCTAAAAGCGCCTTCCCTGCGACGTATTATCACATAGAAAAAACCGTTCATCAGTCGGATCTGGCCGCGTTAGCCATGCATGGTAGTAGCGATCAGATCCAAGTGTTTGCCTGTAGGGTATTTGCACATGTGCTGATGCGGCCAGGCAAGAGACGAGGAGAGGATCAGATGATACACAGAAACGTGCGTATATCTGTCATGGAACATCTGATGGAACCGGTTGCTGACCTGGTAGCAATCATACCACTCAAACCTTCCTCTCCCACTGACGATCAAGCACGATTCTCGTATCAACACGTGAAGGCAGGCGCACAAGGTTTGCGGTGATTGCTGCCAGCTGCAGGTTCATGGCCAGAACCAGGACTGGCACTACTGGTATTATGCCGTAACAGGCACATCATCCATCACCTGCTCTCTGTACGTGTTATGTGTTATGTGGCGTACATGCATGATGCATCTACGGCAAGCGGTAGGCCGACGATGAAATGGCGGCGAGAGTTGGCAGTTCCTAGCTGGTGACATGTCTGGCAGTTGATGGGGGCTTCTATTAGGAGTGGATAACAATAACGTCACGAGGCAAGGTGCACACATTAATAATACTCCATGAGATCCTACACTGTAATATAAGTATTATATCACCTATACAAGCACTCGTGCGGTCATGTCCCGTCAGCATACGCCGTATATTGCCGCAGTAGAGCTACTACGAGTAAAGAGTCAAGAGTAGTACTGGTAGAGGGAGAGGGAGGAGGAGAGAGGGATGCTCGGATATTTCGTTACCTTTCATTGCAAGCTCAACTGGAACCGTTGCTATGCGCCGTCGTGCCCCTCGATCCCCCCCCTAAGAGCTCCAAGAGCTTGGTCCCCATAGGCTAATGGGCGTGTCCCCCTTGTGCCCCGTAGGACACTGTAATTTACTGAGACCGCTATCGATAGCAGTCCCCCAAGGGTCCCCCCCTCTAACTCTGTCCCTCTTTGAGGCCTAGACCAGGTCCTACAGCGTGATGTGGCCTAATGTGGCCCCCATGTTAGTAATAATACGATGTGCAGATTGGTTTGCTGCGATGCACGGCGCACTCCGTTCAACGCTCTGAAGCGCCCCCGGCCAATCCATAGGCCCGTTAACCCCCGAATCCACTCGCCCTCCCATCGTCATGACGGTCCCATGGTCGTGTTTTGACTTCACGTCTCGTCGCAGGTGCCATTCGATGCACGATCGCCTCCTTCTCTCCTCAACCACTCCCGCCAAGTATTGGAGGAAGCCGAGCCTTGCGTTGTAAGAAAAAAAAAGAAAGAGAGAACTTCCCCGCTGTATCTTTGCGGGCGGCTGCTAAGTCATTATTTGCAGCCTCTTGGCACCTACCCTTGCTAGCTGTCGGATTCTCCTTCAGGAGCGACCCCGAAGAGCCCAAACCTTGACTTGACTTCGTACTTCATCGCAAGCCATTTCCTCTCTCAGCTCAGTGACTTTGAATAAGTCGTCACATCACATGCGACTCAACTACTAAACGACACGACGCTGCCCCGCTCCAGCATGCTGTCTTGGGAACCCGTCTTGTTCACATCAACCCACCTTTCCTCTCCCATCTTCGAGCACTCCTGACGCCGTCTCGATA